TGTTAATAATTTGATAAAAAGGGGTCTGTACCACGGACTATTCTCTTGACAATATTCTAATAATAGTTTGTTAAATTAGGATTAGAAAAAAGTCGTCAAATTAAATTAAAATTAAAAATCTCTAACCATTCTAGTTAGAGCTTATGTGTTTCTATAATTACTATTTTATGTGAAACAAGACAAAAACAACAATATATTTTTTATTTTATGAGCTAAATTTTTTCCTGAAGGGAAACATTCATTTTAAAAGGGGTAGTAATGGTATGCATAAGAAAAAGATGTTTTAGATAACGTTATTAGATTTGTAAAACTGAATATAGAATGGCCAAAACTGAAATAAAAAACTCAAAATTGCTTCTCCAAATACAATTGTACTTTTGCTAAGTCGCTATTTCTATATTGGTTTTCTCCGCAATGTGGTTTTGAAAACACAATATATTATTTTTCTGAAACTACGAGAAAATTAGGCAATCTAAATTATCGAAATATTCAAGCCAACTAAATAAAAAAAAAAATCATCAATCTGTTCAGAAGATGATCTCTATATAGTCATAAATGATGTGACTCGTACCTTTAAAATAAAATAACAAGTGTAAATTGTTAACAGACTCTTAAACATTTTGAAGTGGTTTTCTCGAGAAAACAGTTGGTCTTATTTCGAAGGAACTTGTTTTTCAATATTTCATAGAGCCTTAAAAGGGTTTAATCCATATCAACCTGATATCCACCATCTTGAAACAAAATGGCGGAGAAGCCAAAGCCCAGGCATTTGTCCATTCTTCATAAAACAAAGAGTTAATCAATTAACATAGAACCAAACTTCATAATATTGTTATATACTGCAGCGAAAAGGTTTTTAGCAGTATTAAACTCTTATAAACATGAAAGAATCCAGGAAACCAATTGATACATTGATTAAAAATGGAGATACAGTATTATCAATTACGAAATACGTCTTGTCGAACCTCTTATCCAGTGTCTTCAAATGACACATAGACAAAGAACTGAGTCCAAATATAATTACTTATTTGAAGAATACTTATAATTTTGATCATCATTTAATTTGTAATTTTCTACCAACTCATAAGCGGCGACTTTTCAAAATGCTGCATTTTGTAAAATGGGAGGTCTACAATGTAAACATTGCTATATTTCAAGGTGATTTTATTAAGTCAACATGAAACTGCAGAGCTATTAAAAATATTAATAAAAAAATTATTTATACGAAGATAATTATCATTAATTATTTTTGTAATGCATTCCATCAAGTTTGATTTCAGCTGCAGTGGAGCTGTATGTACTATTAATAGATCGATAGAAACGATCCATCAATAATCATAATTTTTTTTTAACATAAAAAATCGCTATTTTGTCATTTTATGGGATTGTTAGAGAACTGATTTTTCAAAGACTGTTTGTGTTAAATTATATATCTAGTTATTTGTTAAATACTTTTACAAAAGTTGAACTTTGTTTATAACCTCGGGTATTATTTAGATGATCTTTACCTCTATCAGGCTATTTCCTTAACATGTTAGGATAATAATCCCAACTAGTTTGTATTTTTCTTTCGCTCAGTTAACATGAAGTGGGGTGAAGAATAAAACCGAATAGATGTGATCACCTTACACAAAGTTGGAAAATGTAGGACAGTGATTTTCAACACTTTAAAATCTTTGGGTATCAGCCGTAAGTTCGTGTACCGCACAGTAATTAGATTTAATGAGACCCTATCTGTATGCGACAGACCCCCACCGGGCCGTATCCGCACTGTGAGAACGGAAAATGCAGTGAGAGCAGTGGCTGCTCCAATCAGAAGGAATCCCATTTGAAAACAACAAATCAGGTCTCGGGAAATGGGAATTTCTGATGAATGTCTGTATTATGACAAAAGGGGAACATATTGAGTAATTCATTTTTTGTTTTACTCTCATCATTTTTATAGATATACATTTTATTTTCTAATAAAAGTTTTGAAAAAATTAATTTTTCTGTCGAAATCTGTATATATTTCATTGTAACAATATTTATGACAGGACCAGGTATATAAATAGTACTTGCTGATCATGAATTTTTTTTTCTTTTGTAATTTAATTTGGTAATAATTGATGGTCTATTCTTCAATCATTTCGCCATTGATTTTTTTTTATCCTTGCAATGTCTTCTAACCTTCACCTTTTTAACTTGGCATATCTTTTTTTTTATTTGTTGGCCCAAGACTTCCATTGAAGGATTCCATTGAAGTCCTATGCTAAACTTGTCAAATCATGAGTGATGATATTTTCAAATTGTACTAAAATTGTTTACTACTCAGTAATAAATATTATAAAAGAAGTTCTTGCAACTTCAAATCTAATATATAATATCTAAATTATGTGAGAGCTAAACCATCCAAAAAAAAATCAATGTTTATTTTCATTATCATTGATCGGAAATGATTAAAATTGTCCGACAATCGAAATTTGAATTATTTTAATTTTCTTTTCTTTTTTTTTTAAAGAAGAGGTTTAAGGAAAAATATTTTCATAGTTATCCAATTTTAATGGAATAGCTAAGTCTCATACAATATAATTTTTTTAAATAATTATTTATTTATTTTTATTTGGATTAGAACAAAGGGAAAACTAGATGAATAGATATAATCACAATGGGCCTTTGAAGTTTATTGAATTATATTTTTTAAAAAGTAGTCAAATTAAAAACAAACAATTCTATCGCAGTTAAAGTTGAAGCTGTGAGAGCACTTTTGAAAATACCAAGTGCTAAAATACCAAACTATTCCGACTAAAACAATTATCACAAACTACCTTGAGCTTCATTCTATCAGCTTCAATTTGAGTACTGATAAAACACTTCACTATCGATAGTTTAAGACAAACGATAATTCTTTAACAATTACCATGATATTTGCTAAAAAAAGAAAGTGATTTCTTATTTTAATAAACCGTTTCTGTTGAATTATTGAACGTATAGAGCTACATCAGAACTCAAATTGAATCAGAAAGAATGTATTACAAAGGTTTTTGAGCTGAAGGCTTATATTTTCTAGCCCCCAAAATGTTTACTAGTTGGCCCGTGCAAATATTTCGCAAAGAATATTGATCAGTGAATAAATAGCAATATAATAAGGAAATTAAATAACTCAAACTATCATGAGATGAAGGAATCATTTCATATTTTTTTTCCTTAATTGTAATCGACCAAGGAAAATAAAATTCCTTCATTTATGGTTTAAACCAAAATGTTTACGAATTACAATAATCTGAATCTCAGCAAATAATTTTTTTTTGTCTTGTAGGTAATTTAGTAATATTTCAATTACTCATCAGTACAGTCAACAAAATATTAAATACTTTTTGAGATATTCACAAATAAAGTTTCTTTACCTTCATAGCCTATTTATTTTAAACTTCAGGGGGATGCGACTATTTTTCCGACCTGAGAGAGAAGACGATCTTCAAAATAAGGACTCAATCATTGGATTTGATGAAGAATTGAGGAATATGTTACCGACAAAAATATACCTTTGATAAATAATATATAAAGATATTTTTATATGAGTTATCTGAGCTAACTCAACAATCAAAATATGTGCTATTATTAAATTAAAATACATATGTCTCAGCTTCTAAATAAGGTTAGCACGTATCAAGTTAAAAATAAGAAAAGTGTATTTCTAAAATCTTCATTGTTTATGTGAATACAGTTTTTATTTATTTTTATTATATTTTTTAATAGGCCATCAAGTTTGACGTAAACCTTATTTTATATAATTCACATATTTTTCTTCCTGAGTGATTACTGTTCTTAAAAAAATCTAAGCCTCCTACTAAATGTTTTTTTTTTTTTTATTTCTTTATGACATTTACAACTGTATTAAATAACTGCATCTAGTAAATTTGGGTATAATAGATATAATGCCATGAATACACTTGCTGAGTAACTACCCAATGGTAGCACTCTAATGATATGACTACATTAGGAGATCATGGGGCCATCTTCTTTTTAGACATCTCGGAGGGTTATCAGGAATTGAAGAGGAAGCAAGGTTAGAAACGAGAGGGTTGGGATGATTCTGAAGTTTATTATAGAAGGATAGGTATCTGGATTGGGCCAGATCTGAAACATAAGGAACATTAAGGTCTTTATGGATAATTTGATTAGTGACAAAGTAAGGAGCATTGAGGATTTTACGAAGGATTTTGGATTGTAAGGATTGGATGCGAGAGGAATTCGATGGTTTAGTGGAGCCCCATAGCTCAACTCCGTAACTCCAAATAGGTCTTATTATAGTCAAGTATATGAGTCTTTTGTAATTAATGGGAAGTTTAGAGTGTTTGTCTAGTAAGTGCTGAAGTAATCGGAAACATCGAGCGGTTTCTTGTCGTTTCAGTCTAGTATGAGGATTCCAAGTTAGTCGTTTGTCTAGGTGGAGTCCTAGGTATCGGATTTGCTCAACAGGGATAAGTGGAGTATTGTTAAAGGAAACTGCAGGCCAGGTAGTCGTTGGCTTACGACACCTACTAAATTAAATCTTGGATCCACTACTTTACTCCACCATTAAATAGAATAAGGAAATAAGTTTTTAAAAAAGTGTAATTCTTTCAAGCCAAATTATAACTCTAATCTAAGTACAATTACTGCTTATTTTTCATTTAATGAAGCTTTTTTTTTTTTAATTTGATTACCTAAAATTTAAACTTTTGCCGTCAACCTGGAACTTTATTTACAAAAAAAGGTTTTGAGAACTTTTATTTTAAGAACTTTTTACCAAAAAGCTTAGCATAAATGTTTAAAATGGCTCTTTTTTTTTCTAAAATAAGACCAATCCTTGATAAAAAGCGTACATACAATAACATGCTGTTAGTCATCAATATGGACTTCGGAATTAAATTTCAATTTTCTTTGTACTTCCCGTAACAATAGCCGAGCGCTGAGCATCCAATATATCAAAGGATACGTCACCGATAAGGAGGGGTCAGTGATAACAGACACACCTCCGATAGGAGGCGAGCCTCCCCGATAAGCGATCTTATATATTTGTTCAGTCAGTTTGCCAGAGCATAGTCCTATCTCAGAAACCTCTCGATACAGTAAGTATAAGGTATCGTATGAAGGCTTCATTAGACTATATCAGCATATATTAGTGATAGTTCCAACAGGATAGTATGTAAAACAATAATAAATATATCGGGAAATGGGGATATAAATCGAATAATAATAGCTACGGATAAGAACGCGAGTGAAAACTAAGGACCCCAGGGTTAACTAAACCGGAGCCTTTTATAAATTATGCATCAAAAATATGATCTAAATATATTATTATATAATTATTAGGGAATATATGTAATGTTATCTACTGATAACATTAAATATATACATATATAAAATAACTACTGATACTGGCGCCATTAAAGGTGAGGGGATTCATCTAGCGAATTGCTATATTGGTACTTTTTGCCAACTCGAAAAGTCATACCAATGATAACCAATATCACTTCCATCACTGTCTCAAACCTTTTATTTCTAATAATGAAGTTGATTAGGAATGGTCATTTGATAGATGAAGCTTTCTGTAATAAGATTCTGTCCAAACCCAGAAGTCTATATCCGAGCAGTGTGAATAGCTTCTCTGGACAGATGGCAGAGTTCATCGTCATCTATCTCGCACATCTTTTGATGTATTTTAAGCAAGAGTGGAAACGTTTATTGATCTTTACCATTTTCTTTGAAATTTTTTAGGAAAATAGTTTAAAAATAAAAGTTTTCATGGACTTTTTCTGGGTTTATGACGACAGTTAATTTTTATTTATTTTATTAAAATAATTTATCTTAAATGAATTACTTGATTCTAATGTGTCGTTTGTTGATGTAGCTAAAGGAAAAAAATTACATATTTTGAGTTTTTTTTTAAAGCGAAATCAACGGAATTTTTGAATAAAAGTTTTTAAGAATACAAGATCTGGTTCCGAAATAACAGAAACAAATTTGAAGTAAACATTCCAGTAATTCGGAAACTGATTAACAATGAAAGTTTAAATATCATTTGAAGCCCTGTTTTAAGTCTGCATTAGCTGGTTACAATTCCAATAATTAGCGGATTTCGTTTCTATTTAGAGCTAGCTGTTTGGCTTATCTGAATCAAAGACTTCTTTTCGCTGATGTTTCTTTGATGTCATCTATAATTTATTTTAATTATAATTTAGTTGTTAAATAAGAAAACCTTATAGGCTAGAATGGGCCCCCTTTGGAGTTCTGGGTATGGGGGCTAATGAAAGAGAGAGACCAAATTCTATAAGGAACCAAATTGTATTTATTATTCAATATGTGGATACATTGAGGTTTTTTTCGGAGGATCTTGTATTCGTGAACTAAATAAATTATTAGGTATAGGTTTGAATGGATAGTTTTTCCAAAACATCAGTATTAATTTAGTTCACCAAACGAAACCTCAAACAATCCATTATTAAAAAACTGATCACTTGTCATCATCAACTATTCTATAAATTTTATTTTTTGTTAATATGCGGTATATCACATACCTTATTTTTAAAAATGATCAATACCGGTATAAATAACATAGCAGTTTAATAGTCTAATATTATTATTACTATTGTAAAACAGTTGTCTCAATCGAGAATATTTTAGAGATTTTCAAAACAATAAAGTTAGTATCTTAACTGTTTATGTTCTGTTAACAACAATAATACTTTAAGGGATTCTTAAGTTAATTTGTTTTTTGTTTAACATAAATAAGTACAATAAAAGTAATCAACATAATTTTTTTCAAATGTTATCTCATTCCTGTCTCGGCTTTTATTTTACCATATTTTAGAAAACTCTAAAACAGTAATAAATAAAGGCTTATTTTGTTTATTTTTTTGTCAATACAAAATTAAAAATTACTAACCACTTGACCCTAAATAAAATATTCACTCTTTTTATTTCGTTTTAACGTTATCTCCAACTTGAGCTACTAGAACAAGGAAAATTCAGACGCTTTTTGGTGTAATTTCCAAACACTCATAGCTCCGCTTTTTCAAATACTTTAAAGCTAAAATTGGTATCATTTGACATAAAACATGTGACATTAGAGATTGTAAAAATAATTTTTGAAGTTGAACAGAATGGGGAAGAGCTATTAAAGTTAATAAATTTTGAGTGTGAATTAAAACGTTATCGACATCAATTAAATTCAGTTTCAAAAATATCTAAACATTGCTAAAGAATTTACTTGTATTCTCATAAAATTAACATAATCATTTTAAGAAACAATCAAATGTTAATACAGAGCTGCAAGTACGGTTTACGTTTTAAAAGTAAATTACTTTTATTTAATACCACGCAAGTAAATATTTATCAATTTTTAACAATTTTTAGACCCATATCAAAGATTTTAATAAATTTCATTTTTTATATAGATAAAAAAGTAATAAGTTTGGATATTAAGGTGTATGTATATATATTGTATTAAATTTCCAAAAACTTTTAGATTCAGTAGATAAATTTCATGACGTGAGGGACCGAGCCCAAATGTATTTATTTTCATTAAATTAATTAATTATTATGCTATCAATAAATAATTTGATAATTGAAGTTTTTTTATCATAAAAAGAACATTTTTAGTCCTGTGAAATTATCATTAAATTTATACTTAATGAAACACATCGCACTTATACCCAAATGGAATAAATAAATTTCTTTATATATTAGGTATTTTCTAAAAAATATCACATACTTTCCAATTTCTTTATTAATTTTACATAAGGTTTTTAATGTTTGAGGGGGAGGAGGAGGTAATAAGTTTTTTATAATTAATTACTTTTTATTATTTCAATACGTAATCTATGATTTAATGTAAGGTAGATGTAATTTATCTATTTTCATTTTCTTTATTTCTTATTTTATATTGATATACATTGAGTTATATTTACTTTGTCATTATTTATATAAACGAAATAAAATAATTAAAGGGAAAAATATATAAATATTATACCACTTAAACAAATACAAATATCAATAAAAATGGTTCTAATAATTTCTATAAATTTAAAATTATAATGTATATTGAAAACCAATGTAAAAAATAAACAATTACAATTATTTTAATTATATTAATTAATCATAATTATATTGAATGAATAAACACTTTGATTAGTCAGATATATTTTCCTATTGCTTCATCCTCTTTATCTATTACAAATCTCTAATAGTTTTAGTACGTCATTTAGACTTTGAACACTTATAAAAAAATATATACATTTAAGCAATAAATTTATCCAGACGAGAGCGATAACATGAATTTTATCTTAGATACCATTAATACCTTCTTTTTTGTCTTATATAATGGAACATAATTAATTATATTTAATTAGAAATTAGTAAATAATAATTTATCAGTTTGAAATTTCAGATATAATTACGCAGGTGTTATAACATATATAAGGAAATAACTATTCAAGGAAACGATTTGAAAAATAAATAAAAAAACAATATTCAAGTTTCAATAATTTTTTAACGATTGCTTATGTCACTAACTATAAATAAATAAAAATTTTAAAGTTATTTGGGAATCAAAGGTTTGTATCTTTGGTTTCCTTTGATGATAATTGAATATTCAACATCATCATAGTCATTCTCCTCAAACCAGGATATAGTTTTAGATTTCCCTCCAAATACATGTAAAACTAACTAATCTTGATAGAGCAATAGTAAAAATAATTAATCAATATGGGCAAGTTCCTAAAGTCAATGCTAAGATCATTGATGAACATCGGAAATCTATAAATGGATTAGCGCTGTGTTTAGAAACTTGCCGTATCTTACACCTACCTTGTGTTGAACGTAACAAAACTATCCTTATATTTAGTTCATAGTTCAAACTATCAAAAATTTCAATCGAATTTTTAAATAATGAAAAAAATGACACAATCGATAATTGTTTCCCTATATGTATTGAATTTCAATGAGTGAAGTGAATAAATTCAGTGGTAGATTTTCGTATGGGTAACACAAACTTTAATTTGAAAAAAAAATACAAAAACTATAAAATATTATACAATAATTTAATATGTTAAGGAGTGCTAAAGAACATAAGAGTGTTTATGTTAAATTTCTTAAAAAACACTAAAAAAGCCAAATTTGGATCAGTATTATTAAAGATTAGAAAAAAAATTCTTTTTACCCTTGATTTTAAAAGTATTTTGCTCAGTTTCTAAATGAAATATACTGATTTATCTTAAATTTCGCAAATAATTCGTATTCCAAACATCTCGGATGCTTATTTAAAAGATTATCAGAAAAAACAAATTTTAAAATAAAAAAGAAATTTCATAAAATAGTAAAATTTTAATCGGGTCAATATTAACGACGATACTGATTAATTAATCTACATATAATTTTTAATCAATGAATTAATCATTATTTAAAATATAATACATTAGTGTTTATTTTTATTTGAATCTAATTTGCCGTATCTTTACCATGGCTTCTTGCTTTACCTCCAAAGCCGTGTTAGCAATTGCTTGGAGGTTAAGTGATTGACCACTACATCGCAGCACTGGGTAGATAGTAAAAATATATTTCTTAACTACGTAGTAGTTTCAGATTATCCAACTCTAAAACTTGAATCTATTTTCTCAAAAAGTTCACTCACAATCAAAGATGGACAAATGCTACTCGAGTACTGAGTACGCATTATTTTACTTAAATACTGACCTCTTTGAGTACCAATGAATTTAATTACTACTTCAGTCGATTTCAAACGATTAATTTAAGTAGTGATTGAATTCTCAATAGTAATTCAATTTGAGTAAAATACTCGGTACTTAGATTATAATCTTGCCCACTAGCGGATCCAGGATTTAATTTTGGGGGAGCTTCAGACCGGAAGCCTTTTTTTTCATATATATAACGACAATTACTATGGAAAAATATACTAACTACCTATATGGAATATTGTTTAAGTGATTCTTGAAGTCCTATTAAATGTAATTAAACAAGCAATAATACTTTAAGACATAATGTTTTAATATTTTTTAACATAAAACATGATGACATTTTACCATTTTGGGGGAGGGCTTCAGCCCGAAAGCCCCCCCCCGTATATCTGCCTGTGATCTTGCCCAAATGCAAGACCTAGACGAGTCTTGGTCTTGCAAACTCAGTCCTGATCATGGTCTTGGTCTTCCGCAAGAGTCTCGCAACAGTATTGTAGTTACTTATTAGTTTATTGCTATAGAGATATTACTGTAATTTTTTAGATAGGAGAAACCTAACTAAGCCCGAAAAGTAAGTTGGTTATACCAATTATTAACATATAGTTACTAAGATTGTCAAGTATTAGTAACTATTTTGCCTTAATTTTTACTTTTTAAAAACGAATTTTTTACCAGTCCTGGTCTTGGTCTTGCAACATTTAGGCACTTTGCAAAACCAAGACCGATTTTGGGCAACACTATCAGATTAGCATTTACCCATCTCGGCTTAAACCCCATTTCCTCAATGGTCCTCATATAAAGTTCGGCATTGTTTATTTTTTATTCCAGATTTTTATATTTATATGGATTTCTAGCCGAATTTGGTGTCAGTATCGACAAACATCTTGTCTAGCTAATCAACTTTAATAAGGAATAACTTTAATTGTGGAATATTAATCCACAATGCTAAGATAAATATTCCACTCAGAAACTTTTAACTAATTAATTCTTTGTCATTATATTTATTACTCAAATCGATTGTATATTACATAATATCGATATGTTTACAGGAAGATGTTGCCAATACTGATAGCCTTGCTGATCTGCTTCATAGCCTGGTGGGCCCTACAGCCGAACCGGAGGCTCAAGGAAGCCGGTGATAAGATACCAGGGCCTCCTGCAGCGCCCATTGTTGGAAATATTTTCAACTTTAAAGTCTCAGGACCAAGTAAGTGGACATAAGGAAATTAGATGAAAATAAAAAAAAAACCTACATATCGAAGCTTTTTTTAAAGACAAGTTTATTCTTCATCAGAAAAAAATATTCTGTATATCCAAGAGTGGCCTGATGGGGGTCGTATGGAGCGAATTGCTACATAAAAAATTTCTAAGAATAATATTTGTAAGGGATTTTGAATTATTGAGGTTGGGTGTGGTTTTTTATTTCAATATGGAAGAACTTTTAAACCAGGGGACAACTGAAAACACAGATAACAGAAACAAAGAGAGTAAATAAGAGAGCAATACAATTTCTTTAAAAAAAAAAAAAAAAAAATCGTATAAATTTCATCAAAAAACTTTCACTTACTTTGAGTAGAAATTATTTTTTTTTTAATTTAATAAACTTATGAATATTAATATAATCGCCCCTACCTGCTCGACCATCACGTCCTATATTAAATTAATAAAAATATGGTAGCTCTGTGCACTATGTACTTTTGCTTTGATCACTACCGGATCCAGGATTTAATTTTGGGGGGGGCTTCAGCCCGAAAGTTTTTTTTTTCATGAAAATGACGATAATTACTTTAGAAAAAAAGAAAGAAACTAACTATCTATATGAAATGTTGTTTAAGTAATTCCTTAAGTCCTTTTAAATGTAATTACACGAACAATATACAATAGGGTTGGGTGTGCCCTAGGAGGGTCTACCTACCTACTTTAAGAGATAATTTTTAATATATTTTTTCATAAAACATGGTTATATTTTACCATTTTTTCGGGGAGGGACTTCAGCCCGAAAGCCCTTCCATCCCCCCCCCCGTAGATCCACCCGTGGCTTTGACGTATAAAAAATAAATTTTGAAGTTTCCATTGAAACATTTATTTTCTATTGTATAATATAAAAATTCTATCAACTACAATTAAAAGTCAATAGTTTTTCGTCACTCTCTATTACCTTCTATGGATTTATGTGTTAAATATTAATTTAACATAATTTTCTAAAATGTTATACTTTTCAACGGTATATTCTATATAACAGTATATAATACTTATTTCAAATCCACTTTAATGTTGTATTATTTATTGAGAAATAAATAAAATATCATATATTATAGATGGAAATATCTAAAAAGGTATATATATTTTTTAAGATATTTTTTAAATGTATGGAAACAGTAATTGGATGTATCAAAAAATATATCAGTATTAAAAATATCGATATTTTGAATCTTTGAAAAGAGTAGGGATGTAAAATATCAATCAATAATACCTTTACAAAAAGAATCGATAGTAATCAAATATATATAAAAATATAGATATTTTCGCCTTGATATTTTATTCTTTGAAAGAAGAGGAAAAGAATTAAAATTAAATTGATAAAAAAAAATCCCTTTTTTGGGTACTGAAAAATCTATTTAATTGTTTAATCATTAAAAAAAATTAATAAAATAAAAATTGTAATAATAATCATAGAAATAAAAAAATATTCTCTTCATTACAAACAAAAAAACTAATTTCTAAGATATAAAACAAATTAAACCAATATACCTCAGTTATTGTGTTTAAAAACAATCTCATTTTTAAGTTATCACTACTTGATTTTTTCTTTTAGGCCGCTTTTCTTTTAGATCTTTTTTTTTTCTTGGCTTATTCAATTCTTTTTTCTAAAAAATATTAGCCTTCATATTTTAATATATTAATATTTTATAAAATAATGAAATTTCTCTATTCTTTCAACATCTCTTTAACAGTCTAAACGAAAAGTCTAATAGTAAAAGAAGTAAAAATCGGGATGAAAAATAAAGATGTAAAAATATATGAAAACGGTCTTCCTTCGAATAAATCAAAAGATTCTTTATCTGAAATCAATATAAAAACAATTATTCATGATTTACGTTGCAATCAATTTTGCTAATCACTTCTACGGTCTGTCTATCTTTGTTTGGTTCTGATATGGAAAAGATAAAAAGAAAGTTTAGAGATGGTAAATGATGTTCTATATATATATATTTTATTAACTTATTTATAAATGTATTTTATATTACAGCTTTCGTGACTAATTTACTGGAGTCACAAGAAAAATATGGATCTGTCTACAAGATATGGTTAGGACCAACCCTTCACATCTTCATTTCCGAACCAGAAGACATACAGGTGACTTACATCTTCAATATATATATATATATATATATATATATATATATATATATATATATATATATATATATATATATATATATATATAAATTTAAAATGAATTATTAAAGCTATTTCATAAATTTATTTTTGATTAACTGAATGTCACATTTTTAAAATAAATAAAACTGTGATATGAAATAATACGAAAATGAACATTTTTAAAAATATACTTTCATTATACTCTAATTAATAGATTGTTTATCAGAAGTAATCTATGCTTGTTAAAAACTCTAAAAACATAAATGAGTAAAATTAAATATGGTTACTAACAAACTTAAATATTCTCGTTTGAAAAATGTTAATAACTCAAAATACAGTAATTCTTAATCCTAATATTACAGAAACGAAAAATATCTAATGAATTAATAAATATAACTAATTATAATTATTATAACATGCCTGATTCTAGTTAATTTAGCTTCAGTCGCTTTTATACCGTAGTTCGCAATGTTTTCAATAAATTTCTTAGTGACGTATTCGTGATCATTCAAATAATTCTGTTTAATAAAACTTTTTTAAAATTCATATTGTTGTAATGCAAAAAAGTTCAAGGTGGTCGCGTTAAAACAAAATGTTGTTTTTTATTTAAAAACTTCAAGCTATTTATGTCTGAGTAAATATAATAGTTCTATCAAACAAAAATAACAACTATAGCAATGACTAAATCGATTTAGATAATCGTAACAATAAATAATTATAATAAAGTGTAAAATTGATATACATAATTATCTTTCTTAATAACATTTTTCCGCTTACGGATTTTATTTACCGCTTTGAGCTACTAGATATCTTCAATATTGATCGTTAGTAACTACAATAAATATATATATATATAGAGCTATGTTTTACTAGCTCACTATAGTAATTGACATAAGGTAGTAAATTTTAAAAATATATAACTTAAATATTTTCCTAGATGCTCCTGACAAGTAATACTCTAATCACCAAGTCGATCGCCTACAAAAATCTAAGGAGTTGGCTGGGAACTGGTCTCCTCATCAGCACAGGTAACTTACTTGTTACCTCACAAAATACTTATTAGATATCAAGTTCAATAAAATGTTGCCCCCGGGAGATTTTGCATCTGAATTTATATAGGAAATATCAAGTCTCGAGCGATTTCTTATCAATGAACAATGTTTATTTTATCATAGCATTTAAGGTCTGAGCTTACATGAGTATTAAAGAACACTTTTTTCATAGCCTGTTAAAGAGGACATTGATTTTTTTTTTCAACTAATGTCATATGTGCCCACTTTTGAAAGCTTACACACACATTGAAACATGATTAATAGGTCTACATTGGATTCGTTCAATCTGTCCCGTCGTTAGATTAAGCCGATAACAGATTTTTTTTGTTACTCCGCAAACAGATATTTAATACTAAATACTTTTTTTTTCCTACGTCTCTTTCTTCGGATTTTTTAAGCCATGAGTCTTTTTCAGCAGCTTGAGCTGTTTTAGGCGACAGTAGTGATCGTTTGGTTCTCTCTTCTTCGAGATATTTTCTTGAAGGATGGTTGGCAATATTTTGCTTCAATATTCCACCCAAGCACCTTAGCTCGCTCGATCTCCGCGGCCTCTGAGCTCTTGAAATAATAAATACTAAAATAATCCTCAGACAATAAGTTTTAAACTCAGTACTTATCTGCAGTAGATAATATCGAATCTGGAGGGTACAAATACAGATGTGGTTATAGAAGTTGCATCACCAATTAAAAAATTTATTGTATTTATCAGAATGCTGTCTGGAAGATCTCCGGATATTTGTCAGTTTTGAAACGATATTCTAAACAATAGCATCACTAAGCGGTTAAATTGTTCATTTTTTCTCCTCTCAGTTTCTTTCGTTCGCTCCATGATGTCCTGAGAAAGATATTTTTCAAAATTATGATGACTGTTGATTAATGGTACCGGTTCCTCTTCCAGTCACAATTTCAATATTTTCTGACGAGAAAAGTTGTTTGAAACTGGTCATAATTACAGGTTTTATCATGGAACCAGTTAAAAGTGAACTGGGAAACGTTGTCAAGGTTTCTTGTAACCTAAATAAATAAATAAGAACAAAAACATTCAATGGAATAAACTTTATTAACATAAGAATCAAAAGAAATAGGTGATAAAAAAATACTCTGCACCATGAACTATGCTAGAAGGATGATATAATGCTTACTTACTCCTATGATTGCTAACTCACTCAAGGGAGTTGTTTGTAAACTTATTCAATTGGGCCAACCTTACCCAATGGCCAATGTGCCCCTGTCTCCCATAGTATATGTTATACCCACCATATTGATTTGATTGAAGAAAGACATGAATTGAAATATATTCCTTGATGCCTAAAATGGAAAACATGATCTGAAATGTTTGCTTCCAAGGATAATTGTTTTCAATTTTGTATGAATACATAGTTTACCCATCTTCCAGTGATGATAAAACAGTAAAAAATATTCTATGGTTTTATTTGCTAAGATTTTTTTATTAATAATGTATTTGAATAAAGCTTATCTAATATCATGACACTGTTTCTCCTCTCTAGGAGATCTCTGGTTCAAAAGGAGGAAGGCAATAACACCAACCTTCCATTTCAAGATCCTGGAAGACTTTGTAGCAGTATTCAACAGATGCGCTGATATCCTTGTCAATTGCTTGGAAGAACAAGTCGACAAGGGTCCATTCAATATCACAGACTACTTGTCTAATTGTGCTCTTGATACAGTGACTGGTAAATATTCATGACTTACTATCGTAATAGTCAAATATCATTTATCAGTGGTTAATTGTGTATGTGTTTTCAGAGTCAGCAATGGGAACGAGAATAAATGCTCAGACTGATCCTAAAAACGAATATGTCCAGTCAATTTTAGAGTAAGTATCTTCAACAGTGTTTAGTAAACAAAATGTTAATTTAGATTTACCATCCATTAAAGATTAATTTATTGAAATAATCAAGTATAAGACATATTAACATATGATGCCTCCACAGCATGTCACACGTTACGACTAAAAAAATCAACAACCCTATCTACCAAATGGAGCCAGCCTACACATTGACAGGCACCAAGAAAGAAGAGCGAAGTCTTCTGAAGATATTGGATTCACTTCCTGATCAGGTATTTGAAGTTAACACTTATTTATCTACTTCCTTTTGTAATATTTATTTACTCCAGCATAAATCTTTAAAATTATAATTAAAGGTGATGTGAAAAAATGTTGAATGCTCTTATTTATGAATAAACTAATAACGGACTTTATGTAACTGGCTGATTATAGAATAAATAAAAAATATAAATGAATAGATGGTATACCTAATTATATTTTATATTTAAATTTTTTACAACCTATAAAACTTTAATTGTAAAATAATTCTATTTTTGCTGGAATTCGGTACCATGGTTTTGGCTATGCTCTCCACCACTGGGAAAGATTTATAATTGATATAACTGATATAAGATTATAACTGATGATTTTTATACCTTTGCTTCAATATTCAATAATTTCTAAATGATGGGGGGGGGGGGGAGTGAGAGGGAAAATCGAAGGTATTTACCTACTGTTTTCTTTAATTTTAAGACCTTGGTACAAGAAACAGGAAAGTCTTGATTCACAAATTTTGGGTTAGAGCCATAAGAAGTTAAATAATATGACAGGTATCTCCATCATTAAGCTTTGAATTAATTACTAAGCTTAAGTCTAATCTTGTTTTTGCTTCAAAGGCAGTATGCATTCATTAAGGTTGATGTCAAAAACAGGATATCTAGACATAACTGGTTTTCGCATCAACATGTAACATATTTTTTATCAGGCAATAATATAGTCTTTCCCATATTATTTATCTCATAGGAGATGGTTGATGTTAAAATTATACTTGGTTCTTTTACTAATCATAACGACTATGGTGTGAATAGCTTAAATTGCATTAAAACTTCTTTTTTTAAAGGAAAATATAGACTTATCTAGGTTTGCTTCTTGCAATAATGCTTTCAATTGTCTTCAAAATTTATGTAAAAAAAAAAAATATATAGCGTTCAAACCTAATGTTAATATTTAAGTATGAAAATATGATAGTACTATAGTATAAAAATTAAATTAAGGTTTCTATATAATGTCATTGATATGTGAATATTTTTTAAAGGTAATCCAAAAGAAAAAGGAAACAGCACAAAATGGTATCACCAAGAAAGTCACTGAGGAAGTTGAAGGTATTATAACATAATATCGCTACATCCCTGTTAAAAAAATAATTATAACGTAAAAAGAATGAATCAATAATACTTATTTTTCCTCCTTAGGGGTAAAGAAGAGGACTGCATTCTTAGAATTACTACTGAATATGTTAAAGGATAACCATCCAGCATTTCAATCAGAACAAGATGTCAAAGATGAAGTAACAACATTTATGTTCGAAGTAAGTGATTTCAATTTTATATATGTTTTATTGCTTATAATAAAAAGATTAGGATAAGCCTGCAATGAAATCATCCAAAACTATTTAGTAATATTCTTATTATTTACAGTTATTTGAATAAAATATATTGTAATAGAAAGGTACTTGTAATTTAAAAGTATAATGTATAATGATGATAATATATCATCGACTAAAAGTTTGTAATAACATTTTATAGGGACATGATACAACCACTGCATCTCTATCTTTTACTATGTGGTTCCTTGGCAGACATCCAGAAATTCAGGTGTGTAGCAATATATTTTAGTATTTATTTTTTACTGATATACCTCTATTTAATGTTATTTAAATGATTATGGATTTAATTTATTCTAGTAAAATATATAATATAAAAAAAAAAACTTCCTTTTTTTTTGATAAACAATATTTAGCTGATGTTATATTCCTTCTTCATGATATGATTTATTCATTAGTATACCATAAATAGTTGATTCAATTTCAACATCAATTGATTCAAAATTCATAGAATTTATTAGAGGTCAAACTTTACATCTGGGAATAATTTATTCAAAAAAGAAACAAATATTTTTTTTCATGGCTCTCTCTGTATATTTCGCAAAAATGATTTAACGAAGGAAAAAAATTAAGTCAAGATATACAGAGGCTATAATTCCTCTAGCCTTTGATTGGATATATGGTTACATGTACTGTTCGAACTCTTTTTCAACAATTATCATTATGTCAAAATTCTAGGAGAAAGTCTATGAAGAAGTATCAAGCATCATTGGTGAAGAAGAATTACGTCAAGAAGACATAAACAAGATGAAGTACTTGGATAGAGTTGTAAAAGAATCTCTTAGGATATTCCCTTCTGTACCTGCCATTGGTAGGACCGTCACGCACGATACTGTTCTTCCAAGCAGTAAGTAATGGCAACTATCATAGTACATTAATTTAAAAAAAAATACTTCAACTATCAATAAGATTATTGTGTGTTATTATTCTTCAAAGAGGTAATGATTGATGAATTCCTGGAAGTTTTGGAAGAAATAAGAAACAAATGAGCACCAAATTGTCAGTTCCATTTGGATAAGACAAATAATTTCTCAGGATTAGAATAAATATGGAAACACTTTTAAGTCTGTGTACAATATGGTACCATTAACATTGACAGTAATTTTTTAAAAAGTTTTGGGTAAACTATTAAAATTATAAGATTTTCTTTATCATAAATATAAAAATAAGTTTATATTAACAACAAAGGATAAATCTATAATTTAGTTCTATTTCTGAAAACTTAGCTATATTGCTTAAAAATGATTGATCATGAAAGAAAATAAGTAGTTAGGGAAGCATGTACGTAATAAAGACAGGTTGTAATTATTTGATTTGTTAAACAATTATAACATGATCCTAATATAAATTTCAATTTTTTTCCAGATGGTATGCTTATCCCTGCTGGCTCCAACCTGGTTGCGCAAATAATTGTAACCCACAGGAGAGCGGATCTCTTCCCAGACCCAATGAAATTCGACCCAGATAGATTCTTGCCCGAGAATGCAAAAGGAAGACATCCCTACTCCTATGTACCCTTCTCAGCAGGACCTAGAAACTGCATAGGTGAGAATACACAACTTTTTATCCATATTTTAACTGCTACATTGTTGATAGAAGGAACGTGAAAGAGTTACAAAAGCAGATTATTTCTATTAAGGTTTACAATTGTCGAATGAATAATGCTCGCTAATCGTTGAAATTCAATAAAAAAGCATCTTATTGACAAAATTTTCTGAATAGTGATGAATTAGAAAAAACAAGGCAAACTACTTAAAACACCCGAACCACTAAAAAAAATTCTATTACAATTAATTTTTTATTTAATATATTTTTTATAATACATACGCATTTACAGGGATAATAATTTTGTTTAAGGCCATTAACTCTTGAGATTATTGCAAATACGAGTTATATGGATCATCTAATAATAGTAAATATTGTAATTTATTTAATGTTTTAAATAACATTTTTTTGTTTAATTAAAGCTCTATTGCATTTTCCCCCATACATTTAATCCTTACAATACTTATAATCTTTTACTAGATAATTTATTTCTACCAAATATTTTCCATCACAGAAAATAGACTGGCTTAAGCCAGTCTTATATGTTACCCAAAAGTTCTGTAATCAAGAATTTCAAAGAGCTAAAATCTTTTTTTTTTTTTTTTTTTCTCTATCTTTTCATATGCGGAAGGGGAGGAGGGTTGTTCTTGAGAAACAACCAAACTTGATCTAACCAGAGTGGGAAAGTTGAGATTCATTCCGCATGTTTGCCACAAAATAAATATCAACCCTCTCAATCTTTTAATTGAGACTTAGTATATAAATTATTTCAAAGAGAACTCTAAATTTAATTTTATATTTCATCTGTTTATTACAAAGGCATTCAGTAAAATTGAATCAGTAATTACTTAGATGAATTTTCCCTCCATGAACTTCTGGTTTCAGAACACTTCTTGAATTTTTACATTGATGAAAAATACAAAAATGTACTTATAAGTTTAGTTCCACCTAAAATACATTTCATGATCTTTTGTAATAACTTCCTTAATTTATTTATTTATTAACTGAGATTTTTTGAATCATTTTTCAGGCCAAAAATTTGCCATGTTGGACATGAAAGCAATCATCTCTAAAATCATTTACAACTACAAAATTGTAGCAGAGGAAAAATTAGATACCAACTCAGCTTTGATTATCCGATCAGATAATTCACCGATGGTAACTATAACCAGAAGAGAGCGCTAAATTTAACAAAATAAGTTAGTATTTTTTCAATAATTTTGAAGAGATTCAAGTTCGTGATAGTAAAACAAACATATTATGCTTGAAGTTCTTAAGAATTTTTTGTCCCTTTCAACCAGAGAATCATATGGAGTTAATTAAATGGAACCAGGAACTGCTTTCTCATCTTATGAATTGATGTTCTTAGCTTTTGTTTGAAAGGTGGTGGAAACTGTTACTTGTATTATGAAAGTAACAGGTATAAGACTATTGAAAGCGAATGAAAGTGTATTTTACTATTTGGAAGAACTGAATGTATTTTTAATATTTTATAACTGTGATTCATTTTAGATTAAGGAAAACTTTTATATTGTTTTAGACTGTTTTTTATATAAATAAATATATTATTTTTTCTTATTGAAATTTGTTTTTCATTTTTCTTCACCCATTAAATATTTAAATTTTTTAACACAAATTAAACAAAAGTAGGAAGGAAAATTCTATTGATGCCAGAAAAGCACACAAGCATTTTGTCAATAAAGCACACACAAAGAAAAACTTAATTCATCTTAATCCAATTCAAAACAACGCCATTTTAATTTGAGAGAGTGTTCTTTTTTTTTTAGAGACTAATAGTCTCATATATTAAAAAAATAACACAAAAGGATAAAACTAAAGTCTAATCTGATAGACTCCATTTTTTTATTTCACCAAATATTGCCTATCAGTGAAAAACTCGGCTTCTCAAAATCATGTGTACAAATTTCAAAAGTTGTTTGAAATTTGTACATGTTGGCCATTATTACTTGACTAATTTTTACTAATGATGGTCTGATTGTAATGATCTTTTTTCCATTATATAGAAATATATACTTTCAAATTATCAAAGACTAAATCATAAATTGTATAATTTCTGAGTTAGGCTCAAGTAAATTTTTTTTTCCACTTTTTACTCTACTTTTTGTGTGGGATGTGCTTATTTTTTGGCATTGAAGGAAGATATATTCTTCAAAATGATGACACAATAATTTAATCTGATGAAGTATTAACGATGGTATAGCCTGCAAATAAAAAAATATTTGGCTAATAATATATAAAGATAGAATGATAAAGAGATTGAGCTGCTTTCCGTAGAAACTACTTTACTTTTTTATCAGTTTTTGAAATAATCAGAAACTGTACATCTTCTAGAATGCTGAACTTGTTAATTATAGGTATAATTAAACAGTCTAACAGACTTTTCCTAAACAATGTACCGGTGAAAAGTGAAAGATATTTTATCAGAATTTTCACCAAAATTCTGGAACATCTTGGCAGTTCCTGACACCAGAGATAGTCCCTGTTTCTTTTTCTCAAAGACGTGCCTAATTGTTAGTGCCCATTTGGAGCTACAGTTTGTAGATTTTTAGAAGACTTAGTAGCCTTTGAAGTTATCATGGATGTAATGTATCATAAATTGTATATTTTTGAGTTATGTGTAAATATATATATTTTTTCTTCATAATCTTTTCCCTGATTTTTTTAGAGGATGTGCTTATTTTTGAGCACGGAAAGGATGATCTCCAAAATGATTGCTCAATTATTGGTTTTTATGAAGTATTATCGAACAAACGGTGTACCGAAAAAAAAAACCTTTTTGAACAATGCTGAAACTAGGTTGTGGCAATGGAGAATTCGTCCTGGGCGCCAAAATTTAAAGAATATTTATATCTATGGTTTTCCCAAATAATTAGTTATATTAAAATTACCGATTCGCAAAAAATAAATTAAAAAAAAAAGATTACTGTTCAAAAATAGGAAGTCTTAATTTCAAAGAGAGAGGGCTTGAAATAAAAAATCTGGTGTGTCCACTCGGTAAAATGTGTTTTTCAGACTCAGGAGGCTTTGAAACTTACAGATCCGTCGAAAACTGCATATCGGAAATTTGACCTGATCGCGATACTTTCCTACCTATACTAGGTAAAAATACTTTCCTTGTCTAGTATAGATATGAAAGTAAAAATATGAATCTTTACTTTAAGAAAAATGTCTTGAAAAACTTCAGATACTTTCGATCATTATTAAAAATTATCTTTCAATATCAAAATAATATAACAGCCATTCTAATTTCTTCAATGTTCGATAATTTACGAGGATTTGGCTTCGTTTCCTTAATGATAGTAGAATTTCAGGGAAATTTATTTAATTTTTTTTTTCTTTGGTCTAAAATTATACTTTCTTCGTGGGTAGCAAAAATATAATTTTTTTTTCATAATAAATTTTAATTTGTTAATAACATTCTTCTATATGTATTCAATGTAATAACTCATAATTTTCTTCTGTTTTAATAGTAAGTTTACAGCCCCAAAACATTAACATATAAACAAATCTGGTGCGCGCAACACACAACTTTCACTTACCGCTCTACTTGAATGTCAGCGACGCAAGATTTGCAGTGATAAACCAATGTATCATTGTTAATCCTCCGGTCGGACACTTACATATACTTCCTCTTTTTCTGACTTAACCCAAACCAGAAATGACCATCTCTCCCAAGCACGGGCGGATCTATGGGGGAGGAGCATTCGGGCTGAAGCCCCCCCAAAATGGTAAAATATAACCATGTTTTATCGAAAAAAATATTTAAAAAGTATCTCTTACAGTATTATTATTCGTGTAATTACATTTAAAAGGGCTTTAAGAATAACTTAAACACCATTTCATAAAGGTAGTTAGTTTCTTTCTTTTTTTCCAAAGTAATTATCGTTATTTTTATGAAAAAAAAACCTTTCGGGCTGAAGCCCCCCACAAAAATAAATCCTGGATCCGCTAGTGCTCCCAAGGTTGATGGCGCATGAACCTTCCCCCACCCTTCCTAAGATACTGTATGATTTAAAACTTTTCATTTAGAAAAATTCATTACTCCATATAAATGTAACCCCCTAAAAAAATTCCAAACCCCGTCAAAATGTGCCCCCATCCACCTCTCCAAAAAAAATTTTTGATGGCTCAACTTGCGCCATGAAACCTCTTCCGGGCACCCCTGACCCAGACCAATGATGTCCACTACGTATCTTTCCAATTCCTTGATCACTTCAACTTTCTTGTCGGTAACCGATTTTATATTCCAATATCCCATTCTCGAATCCTTATTCATGCCGTTTTAATTGATATAATTCATTGTTTTATTGATATAATGACTATCTACCATACATGTGAGGCTACCATACATCCAATTAAGACTATGAATCAAGACAGCTGATAACCATCGCAAAAATGTGCTTGAGTAACCTGATATCATCTTTTGCGTAATCATAATCATAGTTTATTATTATTACGCAAAAGTGGAATGACTTTAATTAAAGAGTCGGCTTTCTTCGAAAGTAGAGAGATACAATATATAATCTTGTAAATTTGCATGCCATATTTATTAAGATGAATATACAGCAATAAAAATAATATTCAGTAACAATGAAATTAGGTGCCTAAAAAATAATTTATTACAAACAATCCTTTTCTGACAAAATAGTTTTACAATTTAAAACAATATATAATCTATTTAAACAGTAACATTATAAAAAAATCTCGTGAGGTGCGTGCATCACACAACTTTCACATACCACCCTTCTTTTAGCAGAAATAGGTAAGAGTGTTTAACAATGAATTGGAATATGTTTTTCACAGCCGTCTAATGTATTATATTTATAGTTGTCTTGTCACCAACCATTTTCTTTTACTTCTGCACATATTAATTATTTATTTAAAAATAATTAAATGCCTCGAAATACTTTTAGTCCGACAAGAGTGCCGCTGAAAAATAAGACTGCTATATTTATTTATGAGAAGGAGTTGATCGCGGGGTGCCGTCAAATAAATAATAAATTAAACAAATAGTATTATTAATAAATACTAAATTAAACAAATAGTATTATTAATAAATACTAAATTAAACAAATAGTATTATTAATAAATACTAAATTAAACCAATAGTATTATTATTTATTTGACCGTATCCCCCGATCTTTGTTTGATTACAAATTTTAATTTTCACATAGCCATACAATTAACTATTAATTTTACCAACTTTAGCATTTATGAAAACCGCACATGAATATGTATATAATATTATTGAAGCCCGTTATTATATTAACCACATTTTACATAAGTCTATTCTAACCTTTCGGTCAAACTCGGTTGCGCGCTCGGGTTTTTCCGGCTCTCTATTATCTTACATATTATTTCTATAAGGTTTTTTTTTTGTAGCAACGTTATAACTTCATCGATTCTTTATCAAATCCAACAATCGAGCCCTCATTTTAAAGATCTTTTTCACCTTCAGGTGGGAAAAATATTCATATTCCTTCGAAATTTAAGGAAACAAATTATGAAGGAAGAGAAACTTTATTTGCGAATAACTAAAAAATTATGCATTTTTTCTTGATTATACCCATGATAATTATAAAGATTACTAAATTACTTACAAAACAAAGAAAAAAAATCGGACAATTATTAGCAAATATACAGTCCATTAGTTTTGGTATACTTAAAATCCCTTCCTTTTTAAAGATACTGCATTTACTATGCTATTACCCTTATTTTTCTGGCTGATGTATACTTTATTATTTCTTAAAAGCATTTTTTGTTTGTACACTTTTTAATAATTTAGAAAATCCCGTGATCGAGGCTTTATTTTGAATATTATCTTTCCAGTCAGCTTTTAAAAATCAGCCCTAGCAAAGCATTTGTTCTAATATTTTGGTCTATTATGTTTAATGGAATATTGTAATCGACCAAGGAAAAACAATTAATTCCTCCTTCACATAATACATGGGATCTACTTATTTCCATGTAGTTTTACTATTCCTTCACTAAACAAAATTTTCTGCGAATTATTCGCACGGGCTAATTAGTAATCCCTTATTTTTCCTATACTTAATAATTTTTTTTTCACAGTTTATATTTAACTATTATTTACAATGTGAAATGGTTAATTTTTTCAATAAATAAAATTAAAGGCACTTAAAAAAATGAAATTTTGAAAAATCGGCACTTAAGCCCTGATAAAGAATCTCAATGAGGAAACCTGCCATATATTAAAACCCCCTTAATTGTACATTGGCATAACGGGTTTCCTATTTTGACATTTTAAAAAATTCCTAAAAACGTAAAAATGTGTCCTCTACAAAATTTTAATGGTGCATTTTATGAGGATCTCCATCTTCCAGCTTTATTTCTATAAGGTTAATATAATAACCACCCTTTGGATTAAGTAAGGTTAAATTCGTTATCAAAGTTTATTTTCTAGGCTAAACAGTACCGTATTCTCAACAAAAGAAGTTAATAGGTTGAAAATTGACCTTTAAATTCAAAGGTCTGCCTTTTGGTGAACTAATTTTTTTTTTCTCATTTTCTAACCATTTTCATAAAATAAATTCGCAAACGAATTATAAAATGTTTGAAAACAACATGAGAAAAGAATTCAGAAATTCCATTGATTTTAGAATTAAATTACATTTTCTCATGCACTGATCTGCGGGGAGGCCTTTCGGACTGAATTCTGTCCTCCTCTCTCCTCCCTCCCCCCGAATGTAAAAAATCTATTTGTTTCTATGGTCTATATTTGTTATCGTGAGTAATCCTAGCAAAATATACTTAAACAATAACATTATGTTATATTTTAAAAATTAGAATGCTTACGCAACTACTAAATGTAACCATGTCTTACACCGGCGGATCTACGGGGGGGAGGTTTTCGGGCTGAAGCCCCCCCCCCCTCCCAAAATGGTAAAACATAACCATAAATATAAAACATAAACATAAAAAAAATTTTAAAATACCTCTTAAACTATTGTTGTTCGTGTAATTACATTTAAAAGGACTTAAGGAATCACTTAAACACCATTCATAGTAAGTTTCTTTCTGTTTTTCCAAAGTAATTATCGTTATTTTTATAAAAAGAAAAAGCTTTCGGGCTGAAGCCCCCCCCCCAAAATTAAATCCTGGATCCACTAGTGATGTCTTACGATAAAAATATTAAAACAATATTTCTATAAGAATTATTGTTCATGTAATTACATTTTTAATAGAACTTCAAGAATCATTTAAACGCCATTTCAGGTAGTTAGTTTCTTTGTTTTTTTCCAAGTATTTATTGTTACATATATATTTGAAAAATGCTTCAGGCTGAATCCTCCATTCAAATATAAATCCTGGATCCGCTACTGTTCTCATGTAAGCTCTTATGAAACAAATCTTCAAACATAAATAAAGATTTAAAAAAATACCTTAACTATGTTACTTTGTAACTCACGCTTCTTTTTACTGTACTTTCAATAAAAAAAAAATATATTCATCATATTTATATGTAGGAAAATTTTCTACTCCAGGTCGTTGCTCTCGTCGAAGAGAAATAAATCAGATGATGGGACCAGTTCGTTATATCTTTTGATCGTCAGGTCAAGGAACAAGAATCTGTTGTCGGTGTTTCCGTTTCTTTCCTTCTGGAGTTGACTGATGAGGGAAACAAGAAGAAGAAGAAAGTAATATAGAAAGAAGAACAAGGTAAATAAATATACAGATGTAGGGGAAGGTGGTCAGGGCAGTTCCCCGTTATCCAACCAGTATATAGCCATCCAGCTGGCGTATCTTCGGTTCAGTCAACAGCCCAGGTCATGTCCATCTCTTTAGCTTCACTATTTATAGCAGGTAATTCTAGAAAATTTATTAAATTATGTTAAAGAGTCCTTAGATCTTTTTCTTTTTAATGTAGGTTATGTAATTTTAAAAAATACTTTTGTGAAAGAATACAATTAGGGATGAATCCAGAAGTCGTTTTTTGGAGGTGAACTATACAGTGGACGATAATTCGAACTCTTTAATTGTTAACTTTGGTAAATCGAAAAAATGCGGTATAACGTATTGTTTTTCGTAATTAGGTAAAGCGAAAACCTTCTTTAGTTCGAACCAGGCCACTTCTCCTCTTTATAATCCAAATTATTCCTTGCAATATTTACTCCTCATTTTCAGGGTAATGTTTACTTCCTTTCAGTCCAGCTTAACTTCACAATTCATTTAGTTTGTCTATCTGGATGAATGCAAGGCATAAGGACGTCTCTTTTATTGTGTCCGATAAATATAAAATTATCTGCTGTGAAAAGTAGTTTGAAAAAAATATATATATCGCTAATTCCAATAATCTACCATCATCGCTATCTACAATTCTGAAGAATAAAGTGAAAACCCCCCCCCCTTTTTTTTATTGGACTAGAAACTTGACATTAAAATAAAAACTATTCTTTTTTTTTTTTAAATTAGATATGATATTCTCTATTGCAATGTTATTATGTAATTTTTTATTCTTTTTTTGTCGTTATTATTTTTACTTGGCGCTAAGTATATATAAAGTTTATGTAAACTCATGCATATTTTCAAAAATTCAATAAAAATTGTTAATAATTCGATTTTTTTCCTATTGAAAATTCAAGGCATCGATATTTTTTCTTGGAGAGTCGACTGTAATTGTGGATAAGCATTACATTGCCAAAGAAAGGAGCTGAAATAAATTGATTAACTACTTCATATCTCAAACTATTTAAAATAAATTGTTCTTGGCATAGATAAAGTAATTAATTAACTTGATAGACTTATCTCCAACGGTAGATTTCTCACAAGGCGAGATGTTTTTAGTTTGATTTTTTTAAATTTTCTCTCTCCTAATGAATTTATTCCCGAGTATTTTGTATTCGTAAATACTAGTGTTGCCCAAATGCGAGACCCAGACGAGTCTTGGTCTTGCAAACTCAGTTTGGTCTTGGTCTTGCACAAGAGTCTCGCAACAGTCTTACGGTACCGTATTTTGTAGATAGGAGAAACCTAACTAAGCCTGAATGAAAAATTAGAGGAATTAAATGCAAAACTATATTGGTTATACCAATTATTTACATATAGTAACTAAGATTGTCGATTATTAGTAACTATTTTGCCTTAATTTTTTATTAAAAACATAAATTTTTTTTTTACCAGTCCTCGTCTTGGTCTTGCAACAGTTAGGCGGCCTTGGTCTTGGTCTTCCAAAGTGCAAGACCAAGACCGATTTTGGGCAACACTAGTAAATACATTTTAAATAGTATTCAGTCTCACAATCATATACAGTGAAATCTCATAAATCCAAAATAATTCTAAAGTGGAAAACACATCAGAGGTGCTCCTTATATATATATATATATATATATATATATATATATATATATATATATATATATATATATATATATATATATATGTATATATATATATATATATATATATATTCAAATAATTAAGTTGCTTTTGTTTGTTTCGAGTTCTGTAGAATCTTCCTCACCTCCTAGTCTTTATAGAATTTATTGCCGAAGCATATTATTCTCTGCCAACCACCAATTACAGATACTAAAAGAGCGGATGTATTAGCGGATTCAGAATTAAATTTTGAGGGATAAGTCTTTTTTTTTTTTAAATAACAGTAATTGCATTGGCTCTGTTCACTCATAGAAACAAATATGGACAAATGAAATAAAAATTATTTCCGTATAGTGGAAGGGAGGCTACATTCCAAAAGACACCGCCCTCATTCTTGAAACCGCAAGTGACAGGAACAGAGTTCGCGCATACGAATCAGCTACGAAAATTCCGGAAATTCAACAAGGCATTTCTTAGATATTTTTCTTAGTAATATTTTATAATTATCTAAATAAACTATCAAATAAAAATCATCTAAATTTTTGGGGAGGGAAAATGAATAAAGATATTTAAATAAAAACAATTTAAAATAAGCGCTGTTTTGAGGCGCACCACCCTTGGATTGCAAGTGGTGGTTTCAAAGGTATCATTCAAATTTAACCTAATCAAATTCCATTAAGTACTTTTGACCACAGGCGGATCTATGGGGGGAGGGGCTTTCGGGCTGAAGCTCCCCTCCCCCCTATAAATGATAAAATATAATTATGTTTTACAGAAAAAAATATTAAAAACTATCTCTTAAATTATTCTTGTTCGTGTAATTACATAAGAAGAACCACTTAAACACCATTTCATATAGGTAGATAATTTCTTTCTTTTTTTTCCTAATTAATTATCGTTATATGTATATGAAAAAAACAATTTCGGGCTGAAGCTTCCCCCACCCCCAAATTAAATCCTGGATCCGCTAGTGCTTTTGACTACGCATGCTTAAAGGTAGTTTCATTAACAAGCCTATTTTTCAAAAACGGCTCTTCTCTTAAATCATCTCTTAGATGAAGCTACCTACGTATTCAAAATTTTTGGGAGGGAAACATTTTTGGAGGGAATCATTTTTTTTTTTTTTTTTAATTTCAATTTGAAAGAGGTTTCAAACCAGAGTACAAGGAAGAAATATGGAACTGACTCCAGCAAGTGTAATTTTATATGAACAATTTTTCTAATCCTACTTTCATTTGTTGAACTGTTTTAAGAAGAGTACTGTTTTAATATTATAAATATTAATACATTTTTTTGGGGAGAAGAAAGAGGAGAGCTGTTCGGCATTTGTCTAGTTATAGTATTTTTTTAAAAAATATATATATTTCATCTTGAAAGAATCTACGATTTCATTATTTAACTCAGTACAAAATTGGCATAATTGAAAGATTTAATTTTTGATTTTTTTTTTTTTTTTGTAGGGTTAGCGGTGGTGTCTGCAGCACCACCAGCCGACACGGGGTTCATAGGAAGAGGTACCAACCTCCTCAGCACGACAATGCTCCAGGTATAATAATAATATTTTATTATAAAATAATTAAAAGTCCTTCTCATCACACAAATATAACTAATATCTAACAATCTGATAGTTGAGGCAGTCAAACGACAGTAACTACGTCTTTTCGCCGTTGGGTTACTCAACCTTGTTGGCAGTCCTGGCTGAAGGAGGCGTTGGGCCGACGAGGAATCAGATTTCAGCGGCCTTGGAGCTACCTGAGGACTCGTACACCGTAAGGACCGCGTACAGGGCTATACTTGCTCCTATGCAGGTAAAGATTTCTAGCATGATTGTAATTAATATCATGAATGTTTGTATGTCTTTTTTGTATATAATGTTATGTCATTATTGGCTACTGAGGGATTTACCCCCAAAAAACGAACTCGTAGGACACTAAAGACTTTGAGACTTCCTTACATTATAAAATAAAATGTTACATTGGTATTTAAAGGTACTTCTTACAAACTAAGTTGCAAAATCAGAACTAATATTACACGATTTGGAAACGTTTGTGTAAAATTTTGGAGCACATAATATAAGAAATGGTTAAGAGGCTTAGAGCAGGGTTCTTCAAACCTTTTGTCCCGCGGACTGCATTGAGACCTCAATATAAGTTCCACATGCCATGGTTTGTGACGAAAAAAAAATCTTGTTCTGTGAAATTTTCTAAATTTTATATTTTTTCTTTAGTTTTTAAAATTGTAGCATGTAATCAAAGAAACTTTTGCGGGCCGTAGTTTGGACACACCAGACTTAGAGAGATAGAGGAGAGATATTTGTGAAACACACAACATCCAAGGAAGTTGTAACAATATTAGTAGTTATTAAATCTGTTAATTTACTTATCTTAAACAAAATCAGTTTTCCTTGATACAGTTTGGTCAGCTATATTTTCTCACATATCCAGTCACTTTATGCATTAAATTCTGAAAAACTTGATACCCATCTCTCTTATAAGGCATTCAGTTCTCTGTTTTTATTCACTAGTAGAACGCCACTTTCTTTCGAAACTCATTTGATCTATTAAGCATCTGTTTCATCTGCATATGTAACACTGGTCTGATTAATGTCTTAAATTACACCTTCCTTAAGTAAAACCATTCAATAAAGAATATTTATAGAAGTTTGTTTTAACTCTACTTTTTTTAGTTTTTAAATATATTAAATTGGTATTAATATAAATTAATGAAATTTATTACAGGAAAGAGGCGTACCAAACCAGCCAGAATTCAAGAATTGGTTCTATCTTAAGAAGAACATAACAGTTGAGGATGGCTACAAAGCAATCCTGGAAGAGAACTACTACACCGAAGTAAGAGAAATTGACAACACCATAAAAATTCATGAAGTCAATGAGACCAGTCAGGAAAATGAAACGACAACTGAGAAAGTGGCATCAACTGAAAGAATGGAGGGAGCAAAGGCTGTTGAACAAGAAATCATTCAGTCCTTTACAGATAACAAATTAGATGGCCTTCCACCATGTAAGTTTTGTTCTATGTAGTAAGTTTATTCAATATCCCATTAAATCAAATAATCTAATTAATATAATATTAGCTAGATACTGAATACATCAACTATCATGTTTATATTCAGATAAAACTAACCAAATTACACATCAATATGAAGGTCATAGCAGGGAAGTAAGCTAAGCTGCTTGCAATAGTCAATCAAGATTATACTTTAAGTACTTAGATGGGAAATTGGACAGTGGGCACTAAGGAAAGCTAGAGATTATATAGACAATTATGCTTCATTGGGCGTATGATGACTACCAGGCTACTGGAGGCATTCCACACTGACAGGGCAAAAGGAGTGATATGACTCAACTCTGTGTACTTTAATTGGGTATCACAATGTAGTTTTGTTATAGTCTGTAATGACTCAGAGGTTTGGTCCATAAATGGTTAATTTCAGCGAAAGCAAGCCTTTGTGCACCTGCTGATCTTGAGTAACATTACTTATCTATTACCTATCTAGTATCTATTAGATTAGCTATGTAGACTAATTTTCAACTGTTCTTAAACTCGATTGAGTCATGTGAAGAACAGTACTAAGTTGGCCTCAGAAGGCTCAATTATGAGCCAATTGCTAGCCATTTTTTTTGTTTATGTTGTGATTAGCAGAAAGGAGAATAATTGAATTGAAACAATATTTGTTAACTAAGCTTTATTTATTTTTAACAATTATATCTGCTGCAATATTCACCAAAATACTTATACCATAAATGAGCATTAAACTGAAATTAGTAAAATGGATCAAGGTTTGTAATATTTAGAGAATCTTCAGTCATATAATGTTTATGAAAAGGGATTAGTAACAAATGAAAAAAGTGAAATTTAAACAAGAGTCAGATTTGAAAAGTTAGATCCTCATAAGTGGAAGTAGAATTGTCAGATCTACATCATAGATCTGAGATGAGGAATGGCATCTGGATATAGCAACAATATGACCTCTTATCATACCAGAGAACCTAACTGAAAGTCACTACTAGATTATAATGTAATAAGTTATGATATGAAATTTGTTTAATTATAAAAAAAATGTTTAATTTTTATCATGGTTAAAGAAAATGATTTATTTGCCTAAAAGTCTACACATTTTTAAAAAACAAATAAATCTTTATTCACTTGATGTTTTGATCTATTTATTAAATAATAATTAAGATTTATTAAAAAAAATTGTTTGAACTGTTCCTTGTGGGAAGTCGTATAATTGTTAATAATTTTTCCACTTTCATCAGAGGAGATAGTACTTCCTAGCTTGAACTAATATAGAATTGAAAAACAATTTTTAAAAAGCAATACATTTATAAAAAAAATATATAGAGTTTATCACAAATAGGCAAACATGATTCTTGATTACAACAAAATTGTGATAAAGATCCATTGCAAAGCTTCTCGATGTGATTTTATATATTTATAGCATAGAAGAAATAATAAGAAATTGTTTTTAATTATTGTATAAGTATAAATTGTGATATGCTGACTCTTTCGAGGATAGTGAATCTAAGAGAAGAAATATAATTAAAATATCGCTTCTAATAAAAAAAATTGATAAGTTTTTGACAATAAACTAAAAAAACAATTTCAGAAGATCAAATGAATAAAGATACATGATTTTCATAAATTAATATTTTAAAATCAGGAGATCTTTGTAAAGCTATAATGCATTATATTCTTTATCTATATTATAAGAAATAATTACGAAAGCAGTTGCAGTTGAAACTATTTTAATTAAAACATTCAAATCACTAACTAAAAACAATTTCTCTCTCTCTCTCTCTCTCTCTCTCTCTCTCTCTATATATATATATATATATATATATATATATATATATATATATATATATATATATATATATATATATATATATATATATATATATATATATAATTATGCATTATAATTTATCTTTTCAATATTTTAATTTCAATCATTTTTAGCTGAAGAAGGAAAGAGCGATTTCAAGTCCAAAGCAATCTGTTTCAATGCTCTCTTCTTCAATGGGATGTGGGCTGATAGTTTCTCTGAAGTTGAAGGATGTAACTTCCAGACCCCTTCAGGTCCTGTTAAAGTCAACTGTGCTGAATCTACTGGTAACTTCAGAATGGCGAGATTAGAACAACTGAAAGCTGACGTCCTACAGCTCCCATACCAGGTCAACAAATGGATATGAACCGTCATCATATTATATTACAACCTAATGTAGTTTATCCAGAAACTTTATATAAAAAAAAAAAATCTCTGTTTATACATCTAGAAGGCTTCTATTTTGAGGTTCTTCAGCTGCATTGTCATTTCAGTGTAGGGGCATTGTCATAATGGAGGACACTACCTTCAAAGTATAATGCCAATGTAGAAGTCATTAACAGTTTGATCTGGAGAGATAAATTCCGTGATGGACAATGCCCCCCATCCAAAAAAAAAAAAAAAAAAAAAATATATATATATATATATATATATATATATATATATATATATATATATACGAATATTCTGGGTAAACTTTAATCAGTTATAAAAGAATCTTTAACAGGATAATATAACTTTAAATACTCTGATCTCTCAATAAAACATTAGTTAATATAAGACGTAATTCCTTTCAATTTTTAATTATTCAATGATAACATAATTTACAGTTTTATTAAAACTTACTATTTTTTTTTTTTAGGGAGGAAGATATGTTCTTGATGTTATATTGCCTGAAAAGGATCAAAGCCTGGAAGGTGTCACTTCAAAACTCTCCAGCCTAGACCTGTCAACAATTGACAAGAACCTTGTTAACCGCACTATGAAAATTTGTCTTCCCAAGTTTAAGTTTTACACCATCAGTCGTCCAAAAGAAGCTTTAAATAAGGTAAGATACTTTTACAAAAATTTAAAACTTTGTTTCGATATTAATCCTGTTCCACTTCTTGAAAGATTAAAACATTGAGGCCTCAAATATCAATATTGTTTTATAGATATTTCAATGTTTGATAATTATTGATGCAATGTGTATCGACAATTATACTTATATTGTTACAGAAGTATACATAATATTGTTCGGTATTTACATCTCTGTTTTTTTAACAGATTAAAATATCAAAGCTCAATATATTGATAAATTTGTTTAATATATCAATTCACTACTTTGATATACTTCACTCTACACTAATACTAAATAAAAATCAGAAAAAAATTGACCATTATCCGCTTTTCTTTGACGCTATGTCTCTGATGCTTTGTTTATTATTGGATAATGACATCAAAGTGATAGGTTTGAACAACAAACTGATTATAAAAAAAAACTAAGGTGTGTGCTATATACCACACGACCAAATTTAATTTTGGGGGCGGCTTCAGCCCGAAAGCTTTTTTTTTCATAAAAATAACTATAATTACTTTGGAAACAAAGAAAGAAACTAACTACGTATATGAAATAGTGTTTAAGTGATTCTTAAAGCCCCTTTAAATAGTGGGGCTTCAGCCCGAAAGTCGGGGAGCTTTCTGGCTGTACTACCCCCCCCTCCACCCCTGTAGGTCTGCCTGTGCCACACGATAAAAGTGAAAACATCAACAAGGCGAGATTAATAATATGAGATCTAAATTATAAATAATAGTTCATTATAAAGAGGATGAAATGCTGAACAATTCCCTCGCTTACTGTATGCAGGCCAGACTTTTAGTTTCTGAGATATTTTAATCCATATCTTCAATAAAACTCGTTATAACTTGGTTTTGGAGACTGCTTTTCCTTTTCGCCTTCATCATCATCATTTCAATTAGTCGACTCTACCCGAGCGTTAACACTTCGGAAATCTGACGGATCAATCTAATTCACTCTCCACAAAAAATTGTAAAACGCGCCTAAAGAAGTTTTAACTTAAAAAAAAATTCAAAATGCTCAAGTTATTGTTTATGAGTGGAAATAAATTTTGCAATCATTTTATGTAGGTTACAAATTAAAAAATATGAATGTATACTAGAAAACTGTGAGTAGAAGATAGTATGATGATGAAGTGTCAGTATTGTAACCAATCATAAATCCATTTAAGGCTAAAAAAGAAACAATATAAGTGATTTAGTGAGAAGTTTTGTAACTAATCAATCATGAAGATATTGATTTGAATCAAGAAATTTGTTAATCATTTTTCTCAATTCATATTGACCTTTGATGAAAAATGTCTATCTCTGAAAATTATGGTATGTATTTTGAATTAAAATTGGCCGAGGTTACATTAAAAAATAGCAAAGATAAATAGAACATTCAAATTATTATAAATATGGAGAAAAATATGACCTAAGTTGGATTTTATTATTTTTGTTTTTTAAAGAAATTTTCTTAGTTCTTTGTTGATCATATATTTTTGTTATATCACAGCATGGTGTTGAGGATGTGTATAGCGCAACAATGGCTGATTTCTCAACAATAACTGGAGACAAACAGCTTTATCTCGCCGACCTTGTCCAGTTTGTATCCATTGAAGTTAATGAGAAATCTGCTTCTTACAACTACCTCACAGGTATTGACAAAACTTTACCTTTTATTATCTGTACTATATTAGAACAAATCAATAATTAAATCAATCACTTTGGATTCATTCAAAACTGTCTTTTCTGAGACATAATTTAGTTAAATATGATAGGTAACAAAATAAAATTGATTCAGTAACTAGAATGTATTGTCTTGATATTTAGAAACATTTATAGTAAAATGTTTCAGACCAATCAAAACTGAAATCTTGTCATAAAAATAATACCTATTGGATTAAAAAAAACACCTAGTGAAATGATTTTTCTTTTCCAGCTACTAGCATTGCCAGCTTAAGGACAGCAATACCAGAATTCCATGTAAACAGGCCATTCTTGTTTTTCTTAAGGGATAAAATTGAAAATTACACAGTGATTGCTGGAAAATTAGAAAATCCAAACTCTGAAAAATAGTATCTAAGACAACAGCCAAAAAATAGAAAAGACGTAACATCGTAAGATTATATTTATTTTTATGTTTTTATTATTAAAAACAATTAAATTATTTTATATTATGTACATAAATTATTTGTCTGTTTATATTAAAATAATAAGATATACAAGCTTGTTTTTCTTTTGGTTTTTTTCATTTGACATTTTCTTCATCCAATTGTACCTCAAGTAAAGCTTTGTTAACCAAATCTTCAAGTTCCTTTGGTAGCTTTTCACTGGCTAAAACAGAGAAACATAAATATTTAATTTTATCTATAGTAAGTTTTACATAATACAGACAATGTTACTAAATCAGAATATATAAGAAAATTAGAAGATTCTATATAGCTAAAATATTATTGCTACAAAAAAAAAGTTAATGGTATTATAATTTAGTGATTAATAATTTTGAAACTCACCAGAAGCCAGACATATTTTAAGAGAGTCATATTTAGACAAAAAATATTTAGTTTAGTAATGAGTGGCTTCACATCAAAGATATCTGTCATATTCAGAAAGTGAAGAAAAATTCAATTTTTGTTTTATAGGTTCAACCTAAACTGTTTCTGATGATTTTATTTAAGAATGTTTAAGTTTTATCATGAATAAAATCATTTGAATTGGTTAAAATTGAAATAATGTTACAAAAATTGGCTTTTTCTTGAATTTAAAAAAATTGCAGATGTTTGTCTTTGAAGCTACTCAAATAACTAATTAGTAAGAAACAGTTGGAATTAAATATTAAAACATTCATTGATAATTTGATAGAGACTTTGGACTATTTGTTGGCATTTTAAAAAAAATTCTTCTAATTTAAGATCTTTTTTGCTGATACAAATATCAAGTGTAGACTTGGAGAACTGTTTTGGGTTAGGGAAGATGATTTGTTTGAGGTGTGTGCGAACACACCTAGTTTAGACAATAATTAGTTTTAAATTTATCAAACTTGATACCTGTAAGCCTTCTAAATTACTGAAATCATTACGGCACGGTATAGATAATGTTCTCATCCTTAGACTTATGGAGGTGAGCAACTTATGTTTTACATCATAGAGCTCCTGGTCCTCCATATTGGGGCTATTGAGCATAGGTATGATAACCATATCTTACAAAAAATCTCTTTATCAAGAAATATAAAACTAGCCTCAGAAGCTATATAGATACATAAAATCAAGAAAGAGGCTGTAGGGGCTTTAGCACTTTATTATTCTTGAGTCGTGGCGCTAATTAAAATCTGGCTTAGGCGGTTTGAAATTTTCATGGCAGACCCATAGAATGAATCCTGACCTTCTCCTCTGGTTATGATAGGTTTGGTTGAACTTCTTCTCTTTTCCGTATTCAGAAATGGAGAGGCAGAGGGAGTAAAGAAAAAATATAATATTGGTCACTAAAAACTTTTTTATGTAATAAAGAGTTATAATACTTATTTGTATACCTAAAAAAAATATAGAAACAAGGAAATCATAGTTAGGAAAGAATATATATTTATTATAACTTACAAGTTTCGTCGTCTAATATTTCCTCTTTTAATATACAAGGTAATGCTTTTCTCAGATCTTTCTCAACTGTTTCCTTGGTTTGTTTTTCAACTGAAATTAGTGATTTTAAATATTAGAAGAATAAGAATAAATATAATTATTAAAAATTATTAATCTTCAATGATTAAATGATTCATAACAGTAAACATTTAAGAAATAAAAAACAAATTGTGGTCAACTGTAATAAACAATTCAAAGCACGTGTACTGTTTTTAAAACCAGTTTTGTTAATTTAACTTTCACAATAGTTAATAATGAGAGAGAAATATACTTTATTGAAAGTAATTCTGCCCTACTACAAAGGGTTGCTTTATACATAGCATACTGATCAATCCATATGGACATAGCTCGTACATTACATTATTCCACCACTATACTAACATATCACTTTTTTTTCTTCCTTTTCCTAACACTAGTCATATACACTATCTCTAATACACCACATTAAACAATTACTATTACAACACATATATTTTCCAAAAAAAAAAAAAAGTATTTGAGTGCTAGAAATAAGAAATATAAGACTAAATCACACACACATATATCAACGTAATTCTATGATTAAAGATAAAAAGACAAGACAAAGCCAAAAAAATTAAAATTGAATAAGTTAATAAATATTTAAATGAAAAAAGACATCCTAAATTCACAGTCAACTACCATACAAATGGTAGTGGATGATCCCCAAGCAGTCCAGAATAATAATTATCAACATCTAGTTCCTCGAGGAAGCTCCTTGTTCTTTTTGTGATCGTTCCATGAGACTCAAACTAGAGACCTCTCACGGTGAACTCTCTCTCTCCCCAAAGGTCTCACGGAACTTCTCTTTTAGGAAAGGGATACATTTATCATATATGGTTTTTTTTTTCCCTTTCCACTTCACCCGCCTGATTGAGGTCATTGCTCTTAAAGCGGACAGTTGGATCCAAGATCAGAGCTGTCTTTCCTGTCTTGGGAGATGCAACAATATATTGTCGAGCCTTCACTGTCGATGCAACAATAGACCTCGTCAAAGCAGGCGAATTCCTTTTCTCTAAGGAGCCTCATAAATTCAAACTTGACTTTATAGTGCCAGCACGTTATGAAGAGAGAATTGTTGGGACATTTTCCCAACACATGGGCTGGTGTTTCAGACTCTCTGCCTTACTTACAACAGAGAGACCCAACTTTCTATGACTGTCCACTGGCTCCTGGAGCTCCACGCAAAGGTGAATAATTGATGTTGAGTTTTAAAGCTTTGGACCATTCTGATCTCAAAAGCATTTGCTTTTGGCATATGTATTTATTAGCATTTGGGGTTTCTTTAAAATGCCAAACTCCAATGCCTTGCCACCTGCAGCTGGCCCATTCTTCAAAAGAATTTTCTCTTAGCGACTGTCTGAGCTCCCATATTTCGGTGGTCCTGATCCACTCTGTCTTTCTGCACATTCAGCGATTTCTGTATTGTAATCAAATGTGGACTGGAACAGGGCATCCGGTACATTGGACTGCTGCTGGGAAATGGACCAATGCTGCAAAGGAGACTCCCATTGACAATGGATCAGTCCCGATCCTCGATATCACCTCAGTGCATACAACATCCCCATTGATGTATTATTGGCAAGCCATAATATAGATATATGGGAGGGGATTTATTACTTGTATTTGTGGGAGTGGAACAGATATTCAAAGTTTTGGTCCTTTATGCCAATCCTAAAGATATTGCTGCCCCATATCTATCACAATGAAAGAGGTTTTAAGGATTTTTTTTTAAAGTATAGAAATTAAATGAAAATATAGTAGGGCATCTTTAATTAACAACCAAACTTTATAATAGTATATCACATAAAAATTCAGAGATGGATATTGTTGACTGTTATTTGAAAATAATGAATATGATAAATAGTCAGAATTTCCAGTCTTTGTACAGTTTATTATGCCGGCCAAGGTTTTGATCTAACCACGTGGGTCATCATCAGGGCAATGGCTACTAGTTTTGTTGAGTTCTTGTTCCTAGACTAGATAGTCTATTATATAGCAATAAAATCAGTGGTTGACAGCCTATTTCATTTACCAAGAGAATAAAAATATTAATTAATAAAAAAATATTAAGCATACATGAAGTTAGTGGTGGTAGGCTATCCACTGAAGCATTGGAATACCCTTCAAGGAGTATTTGGCTGGGAGAGGAAGACTCATACTTTGAAAGTCTTTCTTCAAGTATTCTCACTCGTTCCGCAATCAGTCTAAAAATAAAAATAAAAAATTGTACCATTCCACAATCAATGATTTAAATTAACACATTTTTATAAAAAATCATTTCACAGCACCAGGTGATTGAGCAAGGTTAATACAAAATAATCTGCTTAGGGCATCACACGACTTTCACTTAGCACCCCCTTCTTAGCAGAAATAAGTATTTTCAGACAAAGAGGAAGTTAAAGTAAAAATTACAGGTGCTATATTTATTTACATTTCATTGTGTGTATTTTTATTAGTTTAATAAACAGTTTGCAGGACTAGGTTATTTAGACTTAGGGGACTTCAAAACATGTATTTCCGTTGAAAACTCAGATTCGAAAATGCTAACGATCACAATACTTGCCCTCACTATATATTACACGTATAGGTAAGGGAAAGAAAAATTACTTATTTGCCTTCTTCTGATGCATCAAGCAAAGAGATTTGTCTTGTAATGAATCGACCAATGCCATACACAATCCACGAAGATCTGACAGAGTAGCTTCTTTATTCATCACCCCGCGTTGCCATACAGATTCTTCTTTTTCCAAAAATTCAACCACTAAAAAAAATAAATAAATGAAAACAAAATAAATATTATCAATGAAATCATATTAATAGATGCAAATGTCAGTTTTTTATTTGTTTGTTTTTTAAATGATAACTTAGCATTTTGGATAATTGTCATGTAAAAAATGAAATGAATAGTTTTCACTCTTATATAGATTACAAAAAAAAAAAATCACATGGAGTTATATAAAATAATATAATAAAATAAGGAAATGTTTTTGTCGTTTGAATATCAAATTTAATGAATATACAAATAAATTTGAAAAAAATATTAAAAAATTTCTAAAAGATGAGAGTGGTTGTATTGTATATTTGAAATTGTATTCTGTTTAAGACTGTATTCAGCGAAATCAATGCTTATGCAATGTATGAGCATTTATAATTTTTTTTTTTAAATTTGTTTTGTTTTGTTGTTTAAAGGTCAAAATAATTTATAAAATTTTAAAAGTAACAAAAAAATTAATACTTTACAATAGACAATACAATAAATACTGATTTTTAAAAAAGAAATTCATAACATTTTTCAAGAATGATAGAATACTCTTTAATATATTGAAGTACATTAGTTCTTAACCTATAATTAAATACTTGTAACAACAAAAATAAAAATAAAATAAGCATAAAGTTGGAAAAGAGACATAAGGTAATTATGTTAAGTTGACTTATAAACATTGGCAAGTTAACTACTCACTTGTACGTTGGAGATTTATGGCTTTGTAGTTTGGATTTTTCTATTTATAACGTAAAAACAATAAATTTCAATCTCTAGTAATATTAAATCAAGAAAGGCATTTTGCTTACTAAATATATGCCTATATGCTATCACTCATTGAAATACATAAAATATTTTTTCATCTCTCAACTGCTGAGATCATAAGAATTTAGAACTAAACATGCAATAAAGATTAGTTAGTAACAGCATCATTATGATTCTTTATAAAATAAATATGCTAATTTGTTTTAAACAGATACTTCATACACCAGTTTTTGATGTAAAATAAATATCAAGATGTTTTTTTTAATAAGTAAAAATGTACTTAATCTACACTTCCCTAAATATCTGAGGTATGATATTTTTGAAAAAACACTGCTGCATGGAAGGTATCAAATATTAGCAGGATGATCAGTAGAATATAGTGGAGGCACTCAAATTTAATTTTTTTTAGTTCTTCCTTGCTTTAGATCAAAATCTTAAATAATGAAGCAGGAAATTTATGTAGAATCAGTATTAACTGAAATATAGAAGGCATTTTAAAAAAATTCACTTTATGCCCCATTGGCTGAATCAAACAAACCTATCACTTACATTATTCAATATCAATTCAGTTTTGTTGGGGCGTTTCAATTCTTCTTCAGCACATGTCAGTTTATTTTTATTTATTTTATATATTTTTAAAATGTTTTATTTTTATTTAAAATGTTTTTATGTGTGATAAATATAATACATTTTCTATTCACAGCCAAACTCGGATTTGAAACCATTAGTTACAAAATCTACAGATACCCAACTCCTTCAACTTTGATAAATTTACATAACATAATTTACACTTAATTAAATAAAAATATCCTGAATAATAATAAAGAAAATGAAAATTTACAACACACAATTTTGATTAATTGTTTAAATAATATTTATTAGTTGACAATTAAAAAAAATTAATACATTAGTTACTAAGTTAGATGTTTAATACTGTAAAGATAAACATTAAAATTTCAATCAATTAATTTTAGTTGTTAAAGATTATATCCAGAAATTAATTAGTCAATTATAAATAAACCTGGTTAATTAAACAAGAAAGACTAAATCTCAAAAGAGATATACTTGCCAAAAGACCTTTTAATATCTGAGTTGAAGTTGGTGCAAAAACATCATTAAAATATATAGATAAAATGATTACACGGATCATTTCATAGTAAAGCTGAAAACACAAAACTTAATTAGCAGAAATTGATTTAATTTTTGCTTTCATTATAATTGAAACTATAACAGTTATTAAAAATTTGGATGAAAACAAAATATGCCCTAAAAAAATAAGTGTGAATAGCAACCTTCTTGCCATATTTTTATTTATAAATAAAAATTAAAATAAACATAAGAAATATTCATAAACATAAATAAATTAAAAATGTAACAGTAAAAAAGAAAAAAAAATTACAAAGCTTCCATACCTTCAGTAATGAGGAAGCAAACAAGTGAAACAATATAGTAATAGAATAATTAAAAGACGTGAAGAAAATTGGATTGAAGTAAAAATAAAATAATTCTATCTTGAAGCACATTCACACCTAACAAAGTAAATAACTGACAAAAAAGATATTCATAAAAAATTGCCTGAACAATACATTATCCTCTGAAGTTCAATGCAATTAAATGATACTAATCATTTTTAAATTCACTATTCATTGAAAAAAAAAAAATCTGACAGGAGGTTTACATTTCTTCGAAAATTATATGATTACATCTAAAGAAATATTTTTATTTTTATTTTTAAATAAATAAAAGGAGTAAACTATATATAAATAAGAGCATTACCTTGTTTATGAGTGAGTATTCGGCCTCTAGGTTCATCATTAGCACCAAGTTTAATAGCACCCTTCAATTTCTTTTTATCGAGCATTCCCTGTCTCAACAGAATACTGATTGGTAAGTATTATAAAAATAAAAACGTATTATAATAATGCTATTTGTGCTTTAAATTTTGGAGAAGATGAGTCGAAGCATGAATAACAATGAAATTAGGCTACGGATCATATCTCTAAGAAAATTACATGAAAGCTAAAGAATCTTCATTCATTTTGAAAAAAAAAAAACTACTTTCCCATAAATTTTCTATAGTTATATGATTTTTACTGATTTTTTATTAATATTTTAATTTATTTCAAGAAAAATTGGGGACCCTCACTTGCACCACCTTCTGACCATATGCCTATGAGCCAGACAAAAATTATTTCACTGCATTACTTTCTGAGAACAAGAATAATAATTAGTCCAAGAAGAACAATATATTTTGTTATATGGGATATAATTGAAGTGGTAGGTGTAAAAAAGGCATACAAGGTTATGTGCCATTTTTGGTGAGAATCCATTTTAGCTTCTTTAAAAATATTTTTTAGTAAAAACATTAAGTACCCATTTTACAAATACTCGGTTAGTTTAAGAACTGTAATTATATCTTAGCCAAAAAATATTAATAACAGGAGATCGAAGGCAATAATTATTTTGACCTAAACCTAGCAACATCAGTAAATTACCTTGTATTTTGATAGCATATGTTTTGTGATTTCAATTTCTGTCAATGCTTGATCTAATCTCTCTTTCATATACCTGAAAACATTAAATATTTAAATTTCTTCCATATTTTAAATATTCAAAAGTGCCATTACGCGATAAAAAAAACAAACACCTGCTTTCCATTAGGACTGCATCAACATCTAGAGATGGTGATGCTTTTAAGGCCATTGCTAATTCGTGATTGAGCCGATGCACTTTACATCTATAAGCGTCCCGCTCGGTTATCAGCTCTTCTTTCTCATCTAATAAGGCTTGTAAGTCAGACCTTAGTTCTTTAAGTTGAGCTTTCGCTTCTTCAACCTCTTGGACCAGTTCCTCCTTTTGATGTAAGGAATCACTTTTAGACCATCTTTCAGCCCTCAAAACCTTTAAAAATACATAAATTTGAATATTTAGTGTTTTTCTTGCCTATCACCATAGAAGTTATTACATTTTATTACGCATTTGAGATTTACTGCACATGGAGACTAAAAGAATAATATGTCAAAATTGTGTAAAAGGCAGATTCTTTCATTTCAAAACATAAAACTTCCAGGTGAAACATGCATTTTTGATTATTTAAGTTATTAAAATATAAACAAACCTTGAGATCAGTGTATGCATTCTGTAGTTTATGCCTAAGGTCCCTTATCTCTATGAATAATGCTTTATTCTTATCATTAAGTGCTTTCACAGCATCACTGTCAACATATCCATACCTCTCAAAATGGACTAAACTCTATAAAGAAAGGAATAACATGATTAACTAATTTATAATGATGAAAAACTTTGTCTGAAAACTTTAATTGACGTGATATGTTAATGGAATAGCATTTTACTAAGTAAATATGCTAAAGTTAATTAATTGCACATAATTAAAAAAATTAATTTAATTTGATATAGTTTCCGATTTCAACACAGGATTAACATGTCAGAAAAGGATTCTTCGATAGTTGTTACAATCCTAATATTATTTCTTTTTGAGAATTAGTATAAGCACAGATTCTTTCTCTACTTCATTTCATTTTCATATATATTTATAACAAAAATAAACATTTAAGAAATTCCAGCTTTGTGAATATTTTAATTTATAAATAGCTTTTTCGACTCCTTCTTTACTTGGTTTTCCTATTAATGGTTCCTTACATAGCTTAGATTGATAATAAAATCAGAATGTAATAGAAAAGTAACAGTAACAATCAAATTTTATAAATAAAACAATCATTAATACTTTAGAAGTGCTGCTTCCATTTAAAAACAATTTCTTTAACTCATCTCTTTCTTCTTTGCATTTTGCTAGTTCATGGCTCAATATAATAAGAGCTTCTTCTTTGCTTTCTAGTTTCCTGTGTAGAGCCAAATTCTGAAAAATGAAGATATTAAACCCATTGGCTAACTTAATATCACAATATTTTATAACAGAATTTTTTTTAAACGTATACTGTTATATTTTTAAACAGGTTGAAGATTTAACTAAATTTATTGAAAATATAACTTTTATTTTAAATGCATGTATTATACGATCTTCAATATATAATTTTGTAGTGATGGGATATTCAAACAAATACAAATGTAAATACCTCAGAAATATATGTTTCAACATCCATATTGTACAAAGATTTCCATATATGAATAGTATCTTTAAATAATTTAGAAAAACCAAATTACCGGTGCTACAATAAAATAAAATAAATTATTTCCCAACACCCACGGAAAAAGCAAAAGGAAACATGATAACTTATCAACTATTTACAATCAGAAACCAAGATAGCTGATAAAATTTGACAGTTGCCAAAGAGATTATAAAATGTATCAGCCAAGAATAAATAAAATACACACAACATTGCGTGTAATAGAGTCCAATTAAATAAAAAAAGTAATCTCCAAAGAAAGTATCTATTTACATAAAAAAATAATTCCTGCAAGCAAAAGTTATTAATACATTACTATTACATAATACATTATGTATTATGTCATTAATTTTTCTTATTCTATGTAAATTTAATCAAATTGGTCAAAAGAGATCACATGTTTTTCCATTAAGCTATAAAAAATAAATAAATAAAAAAAAGCGAATATATCTGGAAATACCAAGGAGCAGAAAGCCCCCACAAGATCGAGTCAGAAGTCGATTCGGTCCCAGCGGGTTAAGATAGGGTCAGAATCATGGCCAAAATTGGCTGATGCGGTAGTTTGCAAAATTAGCCATAGTAGAACGACCACACATATGGGCAAATATAGGACGATGGGTGGCCGAGTGGGTTAACACCTGTGCACAGCATTGTTTGTTGTCCGGTAACCTGATAACCGAAGTTTCAGATAGAAAAATAATTACGAGTTCAAATTCCGGTGCCCGGTGGGACTTTTAACTCGGCATAATTTCTCCGCCCTCCCCTCCAACCCGGGAAAAATCCCGTGTAGTCTAAAAGGCAAGGAATAGGAGACAAAAAAAAAAAAAAAAAAAATGGGAAAACATTTTCGGGATTTAATGACTACACTAATCGCATTATTGGAATGTTTTCCGTTATATTGGCTAATGTTGGCTCAAGTGTCTCCCACATTCAGGGTCAACTTAATTTACTTGGCAAATCCATACTGAAAATCTCGATCTCCATATTTTTACTCTAACAGGTGTGTTATAATCCTTATTAGGCTACCCCTCTTTCTTCCTCACGCTCGAAAATACTTCAAAAAGATATAAAATACAATTATTAACTCTTCAAAAAAACTTAAACTAATCATCGCACGATGTGAATTGTCAATTCGTATAAATCGTGTTTCCTACAGTTGACTGTGTTTTTCCAGTAAAAATGTGCCCATCATATGAATATTTATACTAAACGAAAGTATATTAAACTTATATTTTTACACATTTAAATATACAACTCTCAAAAAAATAGAAAAAATTCTAAGCATTGGTCCTCAATAGTACGACCATATAGAATATATTAGGTCATACAATTATTCTATTAATCCTGTCAGTCATCGGTAATAATTTATATTTTTATGATAATGATTTTTCTTTATTTTCTATTTAGCTGTTATGGGTATGGTTGTTTCCATTCTATTATTATCAATTCTAATTGTTTTTAAATTTAATATATAAGTACTTCGTGCTCAATAGATGCTTAAAATTTGGAATAAACCTTGAAGGACAAAGAGGAGTAGCAAATGTTTCAAATATTTATAAAAAAAAAAGATAGGGATCTGAAGGATCTAAACTAGTAGTAAAGGATGAAAAAGATAATTAATTCGTTAAACTTCTTATATGTATCCATTAAAAGAAGAAATTCTTCAAATTAGAGGAAATTCTTTTTATAATGAAATGCTACCTCTTTGATAATACATTTCCAAAAATATATTTTAATACAAAAAATATTATTAACCATTTAAATAAAATGTTTATAGGCTATATATAACTATTTCAAAGTAAATTATTGTTATAATACAATTTTCACTCTTCTATGATTATATTGGCATGTGCAAGTGAGAAAATGAAAGCTGATTTCAGGCTGTCAAGATGTGATACAGGAGATCTGATTAGGTTTAAGACAAATTAGAATGTTTCTTAATATATTTGATACAATCAAATCATTTACGGCTTTAAAAGCAGTGTTTCTTTCTTTATAAAATTCGAAGATTGAAGTAAAGCGATCTTATTTTTGAATATGAGTGATTTCAAAAGTGCAAGTGGGTGTTTACAAAATAATATCACATAAATATTTGGCTAATTCATTTGAAATTCCATCAAAATGATGCTACCAGGCAAGTGTAAACTTAATTTTATTCTATTCTAAACTTTGAGTATGAAAATATATTAATCAAAATGAAATTCTATGTAAGTTTACCTGTACTGAAGGGAAACAATATTTTCTAGTTAGTATTGTTTTAAGCCCAGTAATACCCTGTGAATTTCTTTATTATTTAAAGTAATTCATTAGTTTTTTGTAAACATTGAATATTTTTGCTATATCCTGATACTTTCAAAATGAAGTTTATATATTAGCATCGCATACTTGTACTCTTTAGCGATTTACTAATTTAATATTCAAAATGTATTTAATTATACCATAGTTGTTGTTTCATTTATCATTGCTGAGTTGTTAATCAAATGTACTAATAAGTAATTTTCAAAAAAGTGTTCATAGTTTATCATAAACTCTATTAATAATTTATGAAGGAAGATGTTTATGTTTCATTACACTTAATACCAATTGATACATTTGTTATTTAATTTATTAGGTTAATGTAATTGTATTTATGTATTGCCATATTAATGGTTTAATTGGCCATAATCAATGTTTGTATAGTTCAAGTTTTAGTAGCTTTTAAATATTTAAAGGGAAACTTGATCTGTTCAATTTAAACTTGTTTGAGGAAATGTTTATAGATAATTTTATAATTTAGAGGTTTAGGATGCTGCATTATTAAGCATTTATAATTAATTATTGTTTTTCCTGTTGATATTTATAACTATGTTGAAAATGAATTGTAAGGTGTTTACATACATTTAAAAGAACAAGTACACTAAGTCCTCTTTAATTCGGAGAACAAAAAAAGCTGTTCAAACTTTTCTCCTCTAAAGTTATTAGAGAATTGTTCTTGTCCTAAATATTCAATATATTGAATTATAATAATGATGATTTTCTTTCAATATATATATTATGCATAAATTAAGTGAATTTACTAGATTATCAGAAAACTATTTTATTTTTTTCATCAGACATAACATTTTATTTAAATACTACTTCTTAAAGGTTTTTTTTTTACTTCAGTCAGTGATTATGCTTCATTTTAATTTAATTTGGGGCAGTTAGAAAAATATAATTAACCAAATGATCAGATAAATAAAATTGCTAGCTCATCTTAGATATATTGTTTCAACAATATCAATTAAAAATATTTATGAAATTGGTTTATGTTCTTTATATATTTTGATTAATGCTTTCTTGATATATTTTTCATTTCATATTTTGTATGATAGGGTGACATCCTAAACTCAACGCTGAGCTCATCAATGACATTGTTTGCCTAGATTAGAGACAGATCTGGTGCCGTTGATAAGTGTGATTTAAGAACTTGCTCATAACGATAGGTCTATGATTCTGTTGTTAAAAGTTGTGCTGTTTCTCCGATTGCTTTATTTATTTATTATATTGTCAGTTACAATATGAAACTGTGTTACTATGAAGTCTCAACATTTCAGTTGAGCCAAAAGAAGTTGAATTTTTATAAGGGTAGGATAGAGGTTTTAGGGCAATAAATTGCAGGATTACTACGCTTGTTGAAGTTTTATAGTATTGAGATATGTTTTTTAAAATGTATGTACTAGCAATCAGTAAATTATTGAGCCAGACTGATGATTAGATAATTATTGTTCGTAACGTTTAAGTATAGATGAAATGATTAAGTTCTTTACTCACATGTTTTTATTTTGAAGTTGCCAATATGATTACTAGTTGTTGATAGTTAATGTATAATATAATAACTATGCTTATTAGTTAAAATTATAATTTTGTTTTTTAATTACTGATTATTTGCTTTTTCTTACTAAAATTTGAGATGTTCATTTGTATTCCAACTTTCCTTTATCTATTGAATATTACTAAATGATATTGGGATGCTCATGAAAATTTACTTTTACTTTTTAATAACAAAATTGTTTTTATTGGTTTAAAGAGTAGACAACTTTTTTTCTTATTATTAATAATATTTTCTGTTATCTATTATTCTTTAATTTCTTTATGCCATTATTAATATCTATTCTGAATTTCTGTTGCTAAGCCATTGATTGTTTCATTTTTTCATTCTATTTAGTAATTGAATGATCTGGGGAAAAAGCTAGTTATTTATTTTTTTTTTTAAATTCAAGTTATCGGTTTGAATATCTTCAGAATTAAAACCTACTTTCTTCCAGGAATTTAAAGTATAAAAAAATAAATTTAATCACTTATGTTGTGTTTTTCAAATTCTAATATCCTGATAAGATATAGCTTTTCATTATGAATTCACTGATATCAATAAGTCATCTTTTTTTCTCTAAACCTTTGGACATTTTGGATAGGAGTTTGGTATTAACATATTAATAATTATTAAAAGCCGTGTCTTCAATATCCATTTTAAAAATAGAAAATGATTTAATGAATATTTTTGTATCTTATGACTGTTTATTTGATACTATAATTCGATTTATTAGGTTTGGTGGTTGAGCTGTTATGAACGTGGTGAGTGCAGTGTTACTGCCTTGCACTGGGTGCTGGGATGTACGTATGACAGCGGCAATGGGTGCTGGTGCATCTTCGGTGGTAACAGACAGCCTCTCCCCATCCAACACCCAGGAACAACTCGCCACAGCGCAGCCTCCCCCCTTGAGGTAACAATCATATATTTATTTGCAATTTTATTTATGTTTTTGTATATTAGGTGCGTATAAAATAAAGTTGATGATTTTTTGGTTTATTAATTAATTTTTGTGAAACCCTGAATTAATTCTTTTATTATTATCTATCAAAAATCATAAAAATTTAATGAAGTTTCAAGAATTTCACTTAAAAAGGTTATTTAGTTGCAATATTTAACTTTGTTTACAATCTATTCTCTCAGTCTATTTTTTACATGTATACAGTTAACTTTTGGCCAGATATGTATTTTTTGATATTTGTTCATTATTGTTATTTTGAGGGGACTTTGTCCCAGAATAAAGTTTATTTTTTTATTCTATTCCATATATTTATTCTCCTCTTTATCATAATAGAAAATAATTTTTTTTTTGTACTAATAGTCATGAAAAATATATCACATTAGTATGGCACGATTATTTATTTTAATTTCTTCTGGTATTGAAGATGATTCATATGTACTATTTGAAGTTCAGTATAATATATGTTTTGACACCTATTGAAGTTTATAAGAATTTCTGTTTTGTGTCAAATTTGATAATAGGCTATAGTCAATAGTGTGCGTATAAAAAAAAATGGATTTTAATACTGATTTTCATGTGAATACCTTCTGCATGAAACCTAGTAAAATATGTGGATTAATCAGGACTGTAAAAATATAGTAAAAGGTTTTCCAACATCAGCAAAATCAAAATTCTGTATAGCAGAATAATCATTGAATGCGTAATAATTGAAGCAGAATTATGTATAGCTCTTATCTATTTAATAATATGAAATGTCTCTTAGTAAATTTTTGCAATAAACCGACGATATGACCTACAAAGTTAAGGGACATGCAAAAATGAAATTGATCTAGATTTCGCAAATATCCTTATATGAGTAAAAAAAAACTGTGGGAGCATTTATGTATCATAAACCAATAAATCTTTACGAAGTTTTATATAATTGCTATTAATAACTGCAAGAGAGAAAAAATAGTTATAAATGTAATTGAATACATGAATACTTTTACTAATTGAAATTACATACAATTTATTTTAAGAGAAGTTAAAAAAAAATATAAGAAGTGAATTTCTTTTATATATTAAGTATTTGTTAATATATTTTATAATACAAACATTATTATGAGAAGATTGTATTGTTTTAATTTATAAATACTTTAAATATTATTTAGATGTGTCTGAGCTATTATTTATTCTTATTTGATTTTTTTTTTAAATTAATAACATTAATGTCTTTTCTTGTGGGATTAGTACTTTTACTACGTAGGTTGCTATAAATTTTGCTACATTGTGAAAATTGCAGAGAAAAATTCTGTAAGCTCAGTTCACATCATAGTAGAGTTAGGTAGATTGTTGTATATGATTAAAAGATGCTGCTTAGAACTGTCTAAAATAAATAAATTGATTATCAGAATAAAATTCCTATCTCTTACTAGGCAAGTTACTATATCATTTTCTAAATGTGTAATAAATGAAAAGTTCTTATTTTATAAAATTTATAAGATGATAATAGTTGTAAGATGATAGTTACTTAATTGTTGTATACATTCAATTATCAAAGAAGTAATTGTATTAGCCTTAATTTTATTTTAGTCCTAAGTAAACTCATTTTAATTTAAATTAACACTTTTTGACATGAGTAAAACTTACAAAGTTTCTTTATTCTCAAGTATGGAGGCTTACAGGGAAAAAAAATCTTCAGATTTATTTCTGCTGACTTCTTTTGTTTTAACATGATCCTAATGTTATAAATCATTCAATATCATTATCTAATTAACACAATTAGTTATTATTAGGCAAATGTTAGAATATTTTTTTAATCTAATTTAAGGCACAGAAAAAAAAAGAAAGTTATTGGTTCTAAATATCATAAGTTATTTTTATATTAATTAAGAAAAGGAAAACAAACAAATTATAATGCATTTTTTCAAAACCTTACCGAATTAACATTCTTCAACATTAATTATTCTTTATCATTCTGCTATACCAACTTAATGTGGGATATTAATTCCATTATCATTCTGTTCACCTAATAACCCTATTTCTTCTTCCCATAGTTAAAAGTGAAGGTTGTATTACATAATGGTCCAATAAATGTTCAGCCTAAAAGATCATTGTCAATGGCAGTCCTCCAAAAAACCTGATTTTCTTTAGTGTTTTAACTGTTGTTATAGGCTACGCATGTTTATTTAGATTTTTTTATCTCATAGCTACTAATGTCATATTTTCTGGCATATGTTGATTTATCTTATCTAATGAAATGTGCATTGCCTGTTTAGTATCTTCATATTCTTACTGTCATGTTAGTGATGTATTTTTATTCAAACGATTCATTGCTATTGCGATTTATTGATATGTTATTCTTTTGATTAGCTTTTTTTTTTTATCATTAAGGCAGTGAATATCAATTAATATGTTATTCGCTGCTTCTGTATTTAGTGTAGTAAGGTTTGTTTTATGATTGTGTGTCACTATTTCTAATCTTCAATTAGTACTTTAGAAACTAGTGTTTTAGAAACATGAAAATTGTAACCATGGCTTTTTTCTAACATAATACTTACCTGAAAGATTGTATTTTTTTTTTTTTAAGGAAAAAAGGCAAAGTGGGGGGTTTCGCTACTTTACGTAAGAAGCTGATGCGGAGGCGGCGTTGTTCAAAAGTTACAGACCATGGTCGTATGATTCGAGATGCTGTTTCCGATTGGGCTGCTGTAGAATTGGCCTGCCTGCTAGATGAATACGAGGCTCTTGCCGCACTTAAGGACCTTCATGTACAGGCAGAACTGGCACGACCTCCTGCTCCCACCTTCAAGCAAGACCTTTCAACCCTTTACGACCTAAAGCACTGTACTGATGTCGATTTGGTCTTCAGAGGTGTATGTTTTCCGGTTCATCGGGCCATATTATCTGCTAGGTGTACATATTTTAGGGATCTTCTTGCAGGCTGCCCAGGGTAATTATTGATGTTTTTAAAAATACTTGTCTGATAATTATTATACTGTCTTTATATTATTATTAGTAATATTTAAAAAAATATAAATTGAAAATAAAACATGAAAGTTATGAGTGTTCTCATATTATTAATAATTAGATGTTTTTAATTTAAATATGTATGTTATTTAAATAAATATTAGAACTTAACAATCTTAGTATCTGATATTTTTAAAGGAGAAGTACTTGTTTATTTCCTTTTATCTTTTAAACTATCTTTTAAAACAAACAGAAAAGATTCAACGAGATTGGTTCAGTAATGAGTATTTGGGTAATTTATTTCCTAGGAGAGCCCTAATTGATTTTTTTTTTTTTACATTGATGGAAATATTGATTCCTACGTAACAACATACCTGATAAAGTAATAAAAAAAAAAAAAAAATGTGGTGTGAAAATAAGTTTGTTTCCAAAAACGGCTTTTTTTTTAAAAGTGAAGTTATGCATTTTTTTGGTACTAAAAAAAAAAAAATCACCAAAAGCTTTTGTGAGCCTTATTCCAATGAAAATGAAAAGTAAATTAATTTTATTATTGTAAACAAAGAGTTAAATGTTTGTAGTATAATTTTAATAACTTTTCCCTCTGTTTGCTCACCATTTTTTCTCCAAACCGAACCCCAATAACCTTTTTTTTTGTTCTAAAATGGCCCTTGAAGTATAATTCTAAAGCTAAAGTAATTACCGATTTTAATGAAACTTAGACAAAATCTTGTCCTCAAAGCCGATTAAATTTATCTATATAATATACCTCACCGAGTAGTACTTTCCAATCAAGATGGCGCCCGAAAAATCTGTACCTATTATAGATGTATAGACCTAAACCCTTCACAAGCCCTTTAACGAAAAACTTTAAATAGATCTATATAACAAACTTTTTCGAAAAGAAGCTGGGGAAAAAGTTATGAGGGGTGGTAAAATTAGATTTTCCGATAATTCAAAAACTATACACTTTTTTGTGATTTTTATATTCAGGGGTTTCAGCAGTATTTAAATTTCCTTAGAAACAAAAAAAAAGCTTCATCGAAATCAGAGCACTATTAGTAAAAATATCGCGGTTTTTAAATATTTTTGGTTTATTATTTTCAATAATAAACCTTTGCAATCAACCAAGAAAATTTTTTCACCACTTATGACAAATGCACATTTAAAAGTTTATGAAATAACAAAAAAAAGAATCGTTGAAATCGGACGATGTGGTGCAATGATATTTTATTAATATTTAGCTTTCTGCTGCAAAGCTATCCTTTGTATATATTTTTGGAAAGTCTTACTTCACCTGAAGCAATTCAGATTGTTGTCTATATTTCTTACAAATTTACTGATGATAAAAAAAAAATAATTTAGGCCTATACTAGTAACCACATTATATATTTTTTTCCTTTATGTGACATATGATATATTAATGTTTGGAAATAATGAACCATTGTGTCATAGTATGTAGTTTTTTTTTAATATTATTAAAATAGTCAATGATTATCGGAATTGTGTGGTGTAACTGAAGAATTTTTTAATTATTTTTTTTCTAAATTTTTTTTTAAATAATGCTTTTGTATACAATTTTAACAGAAATTATAATTGTTCTCTGAACAATTGCCAGTGATTATTACCGTCCACTTTAGAAATTATTGTAATGGTAATCCATTCATGTTTAATTCCTATTACATGTGAAACTTTCAAATGGTAGATTTTATGAGATCTTTCTCGTACTTAAATTCTCAAAATTATTGCTCTACATATCTATTGATATATATTCAATAATTTTTTCTTCTCATCTGACATCATTAAACTATCAGTATTACTTAATTATATCTTGCTGTAACCAAGTTCTTAGATAGGACATCGTTATTAAGAAGTTAATCTAAAATCTGTATAACAATAGCTAGAAAATTGTTATAAGGCTAAATATATTATGATTTATTTAATAAAATCACACGTATTTTCTTCTTTTTTAGATATGGAGCTAGAATTTGCTTAGAATTAAGGACCTGTGGTGTTGAAGTTGAGGTATTTTCTGCCCTCTTGAGGTACTTATATACTGGTGATCTCTCGGGACCCGCTGGGGTGGATATGGCCTTGTTGCGGAGGTTAGGTGAAGAGTTCGGTCATCCTGCCTCCCTTGAACATGATCTCAGATATCTCCTTGAAACAGGTAAGCATTTTTTTTTTTTTTTTAATAAATATCAAATTTTTATTATTATAAAATTGAGTCTATGTAAAGAATTTAATTTTTTTAAACATATTAGCAAAATTTTAATTTATTTATATAGTCACTTGTCATGAAAATAGTTGGGTTTAAAAGTTCAAGTGCATTTTTGAATAGCTTTGATGTCAATAGGTCAATTTAAACACTAAATAATTTTTGGCATCTAGAATTTATAGTCTGTAGTACAGACCTCTTTTTTTTTATTAAATTATTAACATCTGCCTGAAACTTAGTAAATATCTTCATTGCACCGTAACGTACAAATATTTTATTTACAAAAATTCTCAGAAGTGGGGCATTAATTAACCAGAGATCGGAAAACTTTGTCTATTTAATCAGATACTAAACATTATGACCTCACGAATACCCATTTGCTTTCATTTGAATCGTAAAATAATATCATTAAAAAATCGAAAAAAAAAAAATCTGGCCTACAAAAATATTGGAGCGTTTAGCCTGCCTTTATAACGTCGGTATTTTAACTTTTGCGGGTGGAGGTCAGGCCAAATGGATTAATATTAATATTTTGTGGTTCACCTTTTATTTTCCACTTTATGATCATATTATCTTACCATTCAAGTGAAAAGCAAATGGTTATTCATGAGTTTTTAGCACCTAATTTGATAGACAAAGTTCACCGATCTCTAGATTGAAAACGTTCCAATTCCGAGAATTTTCGTAAATAAAATATTTGTAGGTTACAATAAGATGAAGATATTTACGAAGTTTCAGGTGGATGTTAATAATTTGATAAAAAGGGGCCTGTACCAGGGACTATTAGTCTTGACTGGAAGACCAGATGCCAGAGATAATATTGTCTCATGTATAATTTATATTGTCACATCACTTACCCCCAGTTATAGAGACTTTTAGTGCATGAGATATTTAAAGTCCATGTGAGTGGCCTGCTTAAAAATGGAATCAGAATAATATTTAATTTTAGTTCATTTATGTCATTAATTGTTTTTCATATTCATTAATTTACAGGAGATTATGCAGACGCTGCATTAGTGTTCACCTCTGACTCGGATTATCATAGACCAGATTCTGGCAGTTCAGAGTATGGATTTAGGCCGAAGCTTGAGCTTCCATGCCACAAGGCCATTCTCAGTGCTAGGTCACCATTTTTCAGATCACTTATACAACGACGGAGCAGATCTGGTGAGGAAACCACCGAGAGAGTTCTTCATATACCAACAAGGTAATGATCAATATATATTTATGTTCCATTGTGGCTTATACTACTTTTATTAAAAATAAAAAACTGTTTTATATTTAATCGTCTATACAATTTATAAACTGTTAGTAATATTTTATATTAAAATCTTTATTTAATGAGGGATCTGTTTTTATTTATGGTACATTATATAAGAAATATATAACCATGCTTTGATTTAGCAGTTTCTAAACTGAGAAAACATTAATTTTTTTAGAATTGTCCTTGATGAAAGTGTAATTCCTAAGAGGTATGCTCGTGTTCTTCTAAATGCAATTTATCTGGATACAGTTGACTTGTCCCTGATAATGCGCCCTGGAGGACCAACGCTTGGAGATGTGAGTTGTTTTTACCGATTATAGAGACATTCTTGTTATACACTAATTTCAAACATGTTATTTTTAAAAAAAATCGATTATATTCTTAGGCGGAAGCGATGACATATCGTGGATCAAGTGCTCTAGAAGAGGCTATGGAACTGTATCAGATTGGGAGGTTTCTCGAGTTGGATATAGTCTCTCAAGGCTGTGAAGATGCTATCATCGAGTCTCTCACCATTGAAAACTTACCAAGTAAGATTTAGAATTGTTTATATAACAATTTTGTTCTTTTGAAGGAGATATATATTACTAGAAAAATATTTAACTTTTCCAAAATTATCTTAATGATCAAATTTTATTGGAGTAGTACCCCTGGTTTAATATATATTGATTCTCCTTGATCTTTTTTATTAATTGTTTTGTATAACATAAATACTGTTCTTCTTTTGCTTTGGATTATATTAAAATTTACTATATTGCTCAATAAAAAGAAAAGATTATGGAAGAAATGTCACTGCTTAGATATTGTAATGATGGCGTATAATAGTAGAAGATATTTGGAGAGAAGTTGATTTGGTCTTCAGTCAATGAAAGAACGAAGTAAACATAAATAAATTATATTTTTAGCATTATTCTATATAGGACAAAAATAAATATAATTTATTTATTCTTATTTTGACCTTCCATTGACTAAGCATCCAACCAACTTCTTTATCTCTCTCTCTCTAAAAAAAATTTAGATATTGTAATGTAAATTATATGACTTTGTCAGTTTCTAGTTTAACAATTTTTTATTCTTGAATTGATTTTTCCTGAAACTTTATCCCAGCCTTCTCTCCCACCATCTTAGTTATTCTGTGTTCAGCTCATTTTCAAGCTACCTCTTTTATAGTCACACCGCTTATTCTCAGATCTCTTTCAACTTCTGTGTGCTCGATTTTCTTTTCTCCTAATGTGTTTTCTGTTATTATCAAGATGTTTTATTCTGTTGTATTCTCATTACCATCAGTGATCAGACATATTCAGTTGTAAGTCCATAAAACCACTACATTTCCTTTATCTATTTACCTATCCCTAAATAAGTTTCATTGAACGATTGTTAAACTATCAGTGCTCCCTAAGAATATTGTAACAGTTGATATTTTGAATATTTTTTATATTAATTTGTATCGGTTGTAATTTTTCTCTTGTTTTAAGTTAAAATATTGGTATTAACAAAAACATGGCGCTCCAAAAAAAAAAAAACAAAAAAAAAACAACCTTTTAATACTGTTTTTAACTTTAAATACTCCAAAAATACCTTGAGAAATAGGGTTTATTTCCAGAATTTTTATAGAAATATTATAAAAGGGTTTCAAATTAGCCTCATGGAGATAAAAGAGCGTTATTAATATATGTTCCATTTACCTCTTATGGAGATATGAAGGAGATTAAGACGAATTTGATAACATCCTTTGATCTCCCTAAGAATGTTTAAGCTCTTCGATTTTTCTCTCACCTGACTTCTAAAAGTTTTCTATGCTTCCAAAAGCCACATTAAATTTGTATTTACCTAAAATGTTAATTTAAACCTTTATTAATTACACCACTTTAATTTCCAGTTGTGTTACGTTGGGGTCGAGAAGGTCATGGATCTGGCTGGGTCCTGCGGCAGGCTAGACAACTGCTGAGGGAAGAGTTCTCTTCCATCGCCCACTCCAATGTCCTTTACCAGCTGGACAAGGCAGATCTTATTGATGCTCTCAGCTCTGATTTCCTTCAGTCGTCCGAGCTGGACATACTGCAGGCAGTTCTAAAGTGGGGTGAACATCATTTGATCAGGAGAATGGAAGATCGAGGTGAGGAAATTTAAAAGTAATTATTTTGTTAGTTTTCAATACATCATTATAGACTTGTTGAATTATTTATGTATTTGTGTATGAAAATTGCCAAACAATGATCAATGAGCTAATGATGTAAGAATATATATTTACAAAAAATTTAATTAAATTTTTTTTTTTTTATCAAAGGTTTGTGAAATCTATCTTAATTACAAGTTGATTATTTTAAAATTTATTGAGTATAAAACTAATATATTGTGTCACCTTGTTTTATACAGAACCGAATGTTGTCAGCCAAACTACTCACTCCGTTGCTAGGAAGGGCATAAAGAAAAGGGACATGTCCGATAGTGAGCTACGAGAACTCTTGGCTGATGTTCTGCCGTTGGTGAGATCTGAACATGTACTACCACGAAATAGTGAGATTTTGATGAACGCAATCAGGAGAGGATTGGTGTCAACTCCACCTCCCCACATGATTGGAGATCGGCCGCACAATCCATGGCTCAATAATAGGCTTTATCCTAAGCCACGTCTCTTCAACCCTTATTATGAAGAAGTGAAGGTTGTTAATACATAATAAATTGTAATGGAATTTTTTATAATTTATAAAATATTCATTTTGCTTTTGAAATAATTATAAAATAGTTTAAAATATATGGTGATATAACTCCTTTCGCTGAAAGAAAATTATTAATTTAGATTTTCAATTATCTATTTAAATTTATTTTTTTATACACAGGCTATAGTGGATGAACAAATGGTTGGAGAAACAGAACTGATGAGAATAAGAAGGTCAAGATACATCGCCGATATCCCAGACACATTATATATGGTTGAAGAAAGACCAACCCACCATCATAATATTGATGTTATTGCCCATGCCATTCCTGGTAAGTCTTTTTCTACTTAATTTTCTGACCCAAAGTACGGTGGGACGAAATGCTCGATTCTCTAGACATAGGGTTTTCAGGAAAATATTCATCAAAATAATTTTAAATTTAATTTTAGGGGTTCATGTTCTATGTAATTGATTAAAGCCGGTATGAACTGAAAGGTAAAACACGTTTAGTGGCAGGAGTATCTTTTTATTTTATTTTTTTTCGAGTTCCTGTCCTAACCTGAACTAGTTTTAAATCAACCAACTTTATAAAAATACTCTAGTAAAATAGATAATTGAATATAAGGTTATCTTATCCTGGTAAATAATGTTTTTATTAAATGATATATTGGTTTAGTAAAAAATATTTTTTTTATTAAACAATGTTAGATTAAAATTGTATGCTATTAAATTATTAACTTTTTTTTTTTCCTCACCTTTTAGGTTATACGGGGCTTTCCCTGGTCACTAAGGGTTGGGGCAGGGAGATTAATACCAGAGTTAAAAGTCCCCCTTAGCGAACTTGTTATTATTTGATCACAAGATTTTCTATCATGGTTGCCAGGCAAATCACACTGCTGTGCACATGAGTTAGCCAGCTCGGCCACCCCGTCCCTATTTAATTATTAATTATAGTTATTAAACAATGTGTATGAAATTAAACTACGCTTGCTACGTAATCTAGGCAAAACATCTCATGGTTCTCCTTTCAAGTATTTTCCGATCCTCAGGGCTATCTTTAATCTTTCCGAATTTGTCTCCTCAGTCATTGGCTCATATCCATGTATTATTTTATTCTAGTATAACTATATATATTATAATATTATATAATTATATATTGTATTCATGTTTTCAATAGAATGAATTTGTAGTTCCAGATGTCAATACTATGAGTGGAATGTTGAAGAGAGAGTGCAAGCTGAGACAATCTCCTAGCTGCCAAAGAGCATTGGCGTTGTCACTCAGCTCAAGAAAAGATATAAATAGACAGATTAGGCTGAGAGTAGTGAGGGAGTTCAATCTTCCTGACCCTGTCGCCCTCCTTTTGGAAAATGCCAGCTCAGCTTACCGACTGGAGGAGGATGAAGATGTAGCCACTAACAACAAACTTCGTAACAGGACAAGCTATGCTGATAGAAGGACCCTCCTCACTTACCCTCGTCCTCACCATCTGCCCGCGGTAGTTACCGAGGGATCTACTGGTCATCACCCACGTTCACGTCTACCTGTATGTATTTTTTTAAATGTTGTATATAGTATGTTTAACTAATGTTTTCTTTACTTATTTCTCCTTATTTTTACTTTTTATGTTTGTTTTTGTTTAGGCCAGATATAATATTTTAATTTTGTACTTTTTTGTTATTCTAAAGTGTCTTTGTCCCAGAATAAAATTATTTTCTATTTTATTCTATATATTGTATTACTGTTACTTTAGTATAGTTTAGTTTGTTTTTTTAATGTTGGAGTGCAATTCACTAATTGTCGTATAATTGTTGTTCCGCTATATCTTAAATTTTAATTAAAAATTAATCTTAGCTGGTTAATAAAAAAATATGTAAATGCTATTGATGTTTAAAGTAGTTTTAGTGTAATAAAATGTCGATGTTTTCCTCGTTTCCATGTTTTGTAATATAGGGTGCAGAAAATTCAGCAGTTAGATTCAGTTGGTGCTAGATTAAAGTGAGTTTGATTTGTCTAGAGAATTCTTGAGAAGGTCTACATGCCCTAATCTCATATCGGCATGAATGTATATTATACTACATTTATTATTGCCTTCCTTTTTGATACACTCTTCTTATTTTCATATACAACTTCACTTATTGATATTGCCTCTAAAAATACAATTAATGAAAATATTTGTACATAGTATAAAATATAATAACATAATATTTATTTACAATTGGTAGATTTTATAAATACAGTAAAAACATATTTATAGTTGAACAAAAGTGATAAAATGACCAATAGAAAACCCACTCCTTTCATTATTTTTTCATTTTTTTTAAATTTTAATCTCCTCTAAAACCCCTCCTAATTGAGCTAGAGGATTGAAAATTATGCATGTTAATTGGGTTTGTGTTAGAGAAGTGTCTTTTGAGGGTCTGATTTTTTTTTTACTACACCTCTGCCATTTTTATGAATTAAATTCAGAAACCAATTATAAAATGTTTAAAAACAAAACAAAAATTAATAAAGCAGGTTCATTTAATTTTAAAAATTGTATCCAATTTTCTTAAGTTAGCATTAATGAAAAAAATTATGCTTTAAATCACTTTCAATGTTTGTTTTTTTTTTCTTGCTCTAGCTTCTTAGTGCAGGAGAATAGCCCCACCCTATCTGTGGTAGATAGCTCTTCTGAGTGTACTCTTAGTCTACCGATTTCCATGGCCTTATTTCCATCAGCCAGCAGACCTTTGGGTCATCTCCCATACTAAAAACTAGTGATTAATTGTAATCCTTCCCATATGCATAACGTTGCTCTTATCAGGATCTATACTCAATCCTTTTCCTTTTAATTCTTCGGGCTATTCATCTACAGCTGCTTGTAGACAAGTTCCAGCCCATCTGCAATTTCCACATCTGCTGCTGAAGCTTTTTCATATTTCACACCTTTAAATATATATATATATATATATATATATATATATATATATATATATATATATATATATATATATATTTGTTGATAAATTTACCATTTACCTAATATCTCTTATTGATATTTTCTTCTAAATCTTAGGACCGTCGAGTGGCTGGTGGAGGAACAATAGGTGGCACCATAGAAATTGGTTTGTCCCGAGCAGTTCCGGATGTGGCTATGGCTACTTGTGGTGAACCAGGTCCAACAGCAGTAGACACCAGTGAGAGCAGTGATTCAGAACAGCTTGCCCTTGATCTAGGGGATGGCACGTCCCATACCAGGCCACCCCCGCCTCCTCATCGTTTCATATAGCCAGGTGAGTACTTATCTTCTTTTGAAATATGATATGTTTAGCTACTTGAATATAAACTCAGAAAAGTAGCTAGAATATGGTAAAGTGTCTCAGGACTTAGCACAAGTTCTACTACATTTGTAGTGATTAAGATCATATTTATATTTTGATAATAAAAGACCTTCACGTAAATTAATACGTTAGCTGCGGTAACGGTCCCCAGGTTCTGATATTCTTCTCGACTTCGATGGGATTGTTTCGAATTTTGCCTATCCTACGAAGTCTCTAAAATGGTCATTTTTAAAAATATTTGAATGGTATTTATGTTTAGGAGCTTTCGGTGTTCTGCACTATATTCATCCAATAAAATGTTTTTAAATACACATTAAATTAGAATATGTATTACAATACAATATAATTACAATGTAATTATACTATATATATATATAAGATAAAGACCGGAGACTGGCGATATCAGCCTTAATACCATCTTGTAATGTAAATAAACATAACAATTGTATATAAGGCAGATTATTGAACGAATAAAGCAGTGTTTATTCAGAAGCCGTGAGTATTGTTTCTCGATCCTTTTTCCTTCTTTTTTTTTATTTTCAAAGCCCGCCGACGCTTAACTGGTGCCGAAACCCGGGAGAACGTCAGGAGAACACGGAAGTAAAATTTTTTTTCTTTCTTTCTTTCTTTTCATTTTTTTTCTCTCTTCTCCTAGTCATAAGGAAAAGACGAGATGCCGACAGAGGGCTTGATTCGACCAGGAGTGTTGAACGCACCTGAAATTCCGCAACCTCAGGAAATGCCGATAGCGCAGATTCCTCAGATCGCCCCTCAGATTCCTCAGATACCTCAAGTACCGCAGATACCTCAGATACAGGAAATCCCTCCCTTACCTAGGGACACATTGGCAGAGGCGCACGCCAATGCATTGGAGTGGATGAAGATAAGGGCAGCGACCACGCAGGATCTACGGAGAGCAATCGCAGACCTGGAACGATTCGGGGGCGAGATAGGTGAACTTAATCACTTCTTGAAAGGTGGAGACCGCCTCGTATCAAGAATCGAAGCAAAGGTGGCGGAGGACCTTGTGAACCTGGGAGACGCGGAGGCACTGAAGGCAGCTCTCGTGTGCCGAGTGAGGAGGAACATCCTCAACCAAATCCAAGCGGACGAGGAGACACCATGGCCAGTGATTAAGGAGCGTTTGAAGAAGGCTTTCGGAGGGGGCCGATGGACGCCGGAAGAAGATATCTTTCAAATGTTCAGGGAGCGTCAGTCCCAACGCCAGACAAGAGGACAGTATGCGGGGGTACTAGTGGCAAAGTACAACCGCATAACTGAGAAAATGCGTGAAACCATGAGTGTGGGAGAGGTCGAAGCTAGGATGGAATTCCTTTCGACAATACTCAAGGTTCAGTTGGCTAAGGAGACTGGGAGAAGGGACGGACTGCCTAGAGAGCGATCGTTCCTCGAGTGTGCCCAAGAAATGATAGATCTGAGTGCAAGAGAGGAAGAGACTCGGATGGAAGTAGAGGAACCAGGGTGGACCCGAGTGAGTGACAGACGACCCCGGACAGCCCAGATAGGGTGGAGGAAGAGGGAAATGAAACACCCGAACGGAGAAAAAGCCACGACGGGCGAGAGAAGATCCGGACAGTCCAGGCCTAGGAATGGACCCCGGAGGGAAGACAGAAAATGTCACGGGTGCGGGAAACTAGGACATTTGGTAGCACAATGTCCGCGCACTAGATGTTTCGAATGCGGGACTGAAGGGCATATTGCCAGACATTGCCCGTACATGTTTCGCAGGAGAGAGAGACCTCTAGACGAGCCAATGGAGGTGAACGCTCAAAAGTTGAAAAGACTGATGAGCCAGCCAGCAGTGGAGGCGAAGGAGGCAGGAGCAGCCAACGGAGCGAGCAACGACGAGCGACGGCGGTAAGGAGGAAGCGAGGCGGCATCTGAGAAGGGTGTCAGCAGAGAGGCGACCGCACAGCAACCTGCAACAGTATTAGAGGTAAGCCATGCTGGTTGCCGATTATTGAAGTAGACGGGGGAGTGAAGTGTCTCGTGGACACAGGGAGCTCGAGTACTATCTTGACTCGGGGGGCGTTGGGGAAAGTGTGCGGGAGCGAGAGGGTACTCCGGATACAAAACTGTGGCTGCCAGCTAATCACTCTGGGTGGTCCCTGTAAGGTAGAAGGGGAAGCGACAATTACGCTTGATCGGTGGGCAGGGAAAAAGGGTGAGCTAAAGGTGCATGTGGTAGAGAGCATGACACGGGAGTACCAAGTCATAATAGGGTGTGATCTGTTAGGACAGGTAGGGGTAAGCATTAGAAACCGTGGAGGATCTTGGAGTATTAGGCTGGGAAAGAGGAAATTTGGATGTATAGGGGTCGCGAGAGAAAGAAGGGTGCGGATAGGAGCGGTGAACAGGGTGGAGGACTGGAGAAAGGCGTTACAAGCGGAGTTCGTAGATATTTTCTTCAGGGAGGGCGAGGTATTGGGGGTAACAGGGAAGACGGTACACGAAGTTCCACTGAAGCAAGATAGGGTAACCTACGTAAAGGAAAGGAGATACCCGCAGGCGCTGAGGCAGCATATTCGGGAGGAATTGGAAAGCCTAAAGGAGCAAGGGATCATAGTCGATAGCACCTCGCCATTTAATAGTCCCCTGTGGGCGGTGAAAAAGAAGGCAGCGCCGGGGGATAATAAGGAAAAATACAGAGTGGTAGTGGACTATCGTAAGTTGAACGACAACACGGTAGATGAAAAGTACCCGATCCCCAGATTCGAAGATATACTCGATAGGTTGAGTGGGGCTGTGGTGTTTAGCACGTTGGACCTCAAGGCGGGATATCACCAAATACGGATGCACCCGAAGGATCAACATAAAACGTCGTTTACATTCGAAAGGGGGCATTACGAATTCACCAGAATGCCGTTTGGTCTGAAGAATGCGCCCATAACGTTTCAACGCCTGATGGACGAATTTTTGAGGGGTATCGACGACTCCGTATGTCAAGTATATATGGACGACCTGCTGATTTTTAGCAGAACGGAAACCGAGCACGTGGGGCATTTGAGGTCGGTATTCGAGAGGCTGCGACAATTCGGGCTGAAACTGTCAAGCGAGAAGTCCCTGTTGGGACAAACGCGGATCAATTTTTTAGGCCACACTATTTCTAGCGAGGGGGTCAGACCGGATGCGGCAAAGGTGGAGGCAATTACACGAATGGCGGTGCCACGGGACGTTAAAGGGATTCGTAGGCTTCTCGGGACGCTGAATTATTATAGAAGATTCGTACCTGAGATGGCAGAATACTTGGTACCTATCAATAACTTGCTGAAGAAAGGCGCGAGGATCGTGGTGACACCAGAAATGGAAAATAATATTCGGAAATGCATGGATAGGTTGCAGGCAGAACCCGTATTGGCGTTCCCGGATTTTGAGAAGCAGTTCAACATCACCACCGATGCGAGCGAATACGCGTTGGGGGCCGTTTTGTCCCAGGGCAGAAGTGAGGGTGAACGTCCGATAGCATACGCGAGCCGACGACTTACGAGCGCGGAATCACGGTACAGCGCGTTAGAGAGGGAGCTACTCGCGATAGTGTGGGCCATCGACCATTTCAGGCCATACATATTTGGGAGGAAGTTTCGAGTCCACACCGATCACAAACCCCTTCAGTGGGTAGGGAAAACTTAAGGAAACCTCTGCGAGGGTCACGAGATGGAAAGAATTCCTTAGTCAGTACAACATGGAGGTGGTGTATAAGCCGGGAAAGGAAAACGTGGTGGCAGACTGGCTCTCTAGGGCCATCATGATCAACGCGGTAGAAGAGGACGGGGGAGGTCCATCGCGGGACGTTCGCCAATTCTTGAGGGAATGGACTCCTGAGGGTGAAGGGGCAGATGATACCGTCAGTATAGAGGACAGGGAGGGTCCCCGGAAGAAGATAGCTCAGCGGAGGAAAGAGCAGCGGCGATGGAGGAAATAGACGAAATCATCAACGACAAGCATAGACAGGTAATCTGGAAAACAAGGACAACAGGGATCATGAAAATAGATTACCGAAGATACGGGAAAAGTAGGATTCGCGTCATTTGGTCGCAACCCGGGGTGAGCGAGGAGCAAATCCGTACGGCACTGAAGGACGCCACGGAACCGGGAAAGACGCACCATCTCTATGTTGGGAACAACACGGTATGGGAGAAAATAAAGCGGATGTGGAGATCCGAGCGAATAGGCATGGATAGAACGATCATCCGGTGCAAGTATGCAGTGGAAACCGTACAGGATGAGGAGCAACAACAAGCAGTCACATTGGCATACCACCAGGGGAAGACCAACCACCGAGGCGTCAACGAGACATTGCAGGCATTACGGCGAAAGTATTTCTGGTGGGGAATGAAAAAATCTATCCAAGTAATCATCGGGAAATGCGAGATATGTATGCGCACAAAGTATGATCGACACCCCCCCAGAGGAGTTCAGGAAGAGACACCTACAGGGAATATGCCGCTACAAGACCTCCAGATTGATACATTCACCTGGAAAGGGTTCAAGTGGGTCACGATCATCGACACCTTTAGTAAAGTAGCTATGGCACATCAGGTCATGGACAAGTCTGCCAATGCAGTTGCGGAAGCCCTACAAATCTGGATGCAGTTTTACGGAGTTCCCGAGAGGATCACATCAGACGGGGGCAGAGAGTTCGACAATACCGCGATTAGGGAGGAGGTGAAAAGGTTAGAGGTTGTGTGGCATTATAACACACCGGGACACCCTAAGAGTAGAGGAGGAATCGAACGATTGCACAGCACGTTGAGTGACCACATCCGTGTATATCAGGGGGAGAAAGGGTTGGAGCCGGATGTTGCGATGAAGAAAGCCGTAACAGCTTATAACCATTCGATCCACTCCGTAACGGGGTTTTCACCTGTGGAAATACTATTCGGGATGCGCAGGCCAAGGAGAGATTGGGGGGAAACAACGACCAATGAACAT